ATTTTCAAGGTCGATTACCTTATATTATAAAGAGAGGAAGAAGGTTTTCCTTCCTGTGTGAGAGGCACATTTTTAATGAGAGATAACTAGACATTGACATTTCGAATGTTTTCTGGGAAAAAAAAAAGTTTCTCTTCATTGTCACTTTGTGTGAGACTATATATATACTTGAGAGTAGAGGATTTTAATTTTAAAATTCCTTCGGTTCGTGACATTCCTCAACTTAAACGAATGGTGTTTTTATAATGGTGAATAAAAAGAGAACCATGAAAAAATTTAAATGCAAAAGAATTGAACATTTCTTATACATTAACAGTCATAATATATTATCGTGTGTGTGTGTGTGTGAGTCATATTCTTAAAATGCTGATATATCTAGTAATAGTCACTTGAGACCTGTCTTGCATGACTAACAACATTTTAAAAAGTAAAACAAATTACTTCTTCCTTGCGCCTTTTAGATAAGAAAACATTCATTATAAAAAAAAATGGCAAGTGTTAATAACAAAATAGTCATTAAAAACCCTTTTTTCTCTTTTTTTTCTTCTCTTTTCTTTTTTCCCTCTTCTCCTATTTTCCTTTTTTTTCTTTTAATTTTTTTTCTTATTTCCTTCCTTTCATACACAACAAGATTCTTACATACAAGATTTCTGTAAAACAGTTTTTAAGGATTTCAAGTTGAGACAAAAAAAAAGTTGTTGCATCGCAACAATTTTTATACTTTTTTTCTTGTCTCAACTTGAAATCCTTAAAACTGTTTAAAACTGTGAAGGTAAAAGGAAACAATTTTGAAATGAAAATATTTACGAAACTTTCTTTCGATTTAAAAAATTAAATTGAAAATAGAGACACGTTAAAAAATCATAATAAAGTAATCGAAATTCTAAAATTAAAATTAGTCAAATTGGTTAAAGAATTAGCATTCTTTAACCCACGTGTGAATTTTCATAACATCGTCCCACGCTTTTGTGGGAAACATTAGTTGCTTATTAAATATTTTAGCATCAACGACCTTGAAGACGACATATAAAATTATACAATAGTAACATGATCACTATAATAAATTACGTAACAAAAAATATATTATACACTTTTTTTCAAATTATCTATTATACAAATCTATCATCAATTTCTAATTTGTCTTCGCGGCTATCGGCTTATTTTATGTAATTTAATTAAAAACTATTCCTTTTATAGATTAAATATTCTAGACGCGGAAACAATTCAAGTATAAATTTTACAACTTTTTGATATTATAATCTAGAAGTTAATTAATTTCTAAATTATTAATTTTTTCAATTAATTTTTACAATATTTACAATATTCGGAAAAGGTAAATTTTTCTGCTTTCAAATCAGGTTCTAAAATATTTACTTAAGTTTGGTTCGTTACGGATTTAAGTATTGATTATAATCTTTGATCGTTGTGAAACTTTTGACTAAAATTTGAAACTTTGAGTAACTTTTTGAATAAAATATTTCCAATGCTACGCCAATGTGCCAGCAAAACTTGCAAAAGCAAACGAAGCACATTTCACGCATCTTTCCTAACATTGTGCTAATGCACATCTGCGTCTCTCCTGTGGTTTGAAGTTTCAAATTTCTTCTTCTATTTACTTCGAAATTTAAAAAAAAAACATTCAGTTATTTATGTGAATCAAATGGGTTCAAAAAAATGCCAAAATTTGTTCATTTACGTCCATTGATTAAGAAACAGTAAAAAGAAATCAGAGAATAATTGAGAGAAAAATAATAAAGATCTCAAAGAAGTAATTCTTTACTTCAAAAATTGCGAATACAGGAAGGGTTCATCTTGTTTTCACAAATTTATGATCCTGTGGTCTTTCTTAGGACTTATTTCAAGGACAGATTTCTGCTCGAAATAACTACCACAGCAGTTTGAATAATAAACGGACTGAATTCATAATATAATTGAGAAAAGAAAAAAAAGAGAGAGGGAAAAAACAGAGAAAAGAAGAAAAAATTTTGCTTCTTGGATTGAAGAAATAAAATCAAGTTAACTGTAATTGTATCAATATACTGAATATACGAAAAGTAAACTGAATAACGTTTCTATTATTAAAAAAAACGGTCTCGTTTTTAATTTTAATTAAAAGTCAAAATTAAATTTATTTGCTTTCGAACATAAATAAATCTACATGAGGCTTCCAAAATTTTTATTACAGTTTCTTATGAATAATTAAATTCTTTTGACGATTTTCTTTTTAATTTTTTCAAAAATTACTATTTTTTACATAATTTTAATTAAAAATTTGGAAAATAATTGAATTAAACAAAGAATTTTTTCAATTTTTTAAAATAATCCTGTCTGTTCATAATTATAATTGAAAATTTGATTAAATCAATTTTATTAAAATGTATTGATATACTAATTGATTTTTTGCAAAGAATTTTACTATTTTTATGTAAAAGTAATTGAATTCTTCAGAAGAATAATATTATTTATGAAAATAATTAAATGTTTGCGTAGAATCTTATTAAAATTTTTAAAAATAATTAAATTTCAGGGAAGAATTTTATTCTTTATAAATATAATTAAAATTTTTGAAAATAATTAAAATTTTAACCAAATTTTTTCAAAATTTTTAAAAATAATTGAAATTTTAACCAAATTTTTTCAAAATTTTTGAAAATAATTGAATTTTGGGGAAGAATTTTATTATTTATAAAAAAAATTGAAATTTTGATGAAATTTGTATTAAAATTTTTGAAAATAATTGAATTATAGAAAAGAATTTTATTATTTATAATAAATAATTGAAATTTTGACGAAATTTTATTAAAATTTTTTAGAACTGTTAAATTTTGACGAGTTTTTTAAAAAAATTTTGCAAATAAATTGATTTTTAGAGAGAAATTGTATTATTTATAAAAATAATTGCAATTTTGACGAGATTTGTATTAAAATTTTTTAAAATAATTGAATTTCGGAGAAGAATTCTATTATTCATAGAAATAATTGAAATTTTAACCAAATTTTTAAAAAATTTATGTAAATAATTGATTTTTGGAGAAGAATTTTATTATTTATAAAAATAATTGAAATTTTGAGGAGATTTTTATTACAATTTTTGAAAATCATTGAATTTTGGAGAAAAATTTTATTATTCACAAAAATAATTAAATTCTTGTGAAGAAATTTATAAAAATCTATTCAAATAATTGATTTTTTTCGAAAAATAGTAGGAAAAATAATTGAATTTTTACAAGAATTTTGTTAAAATTTTTGAAAATAATTGAGTTTTGGAAAAGAATTTTATTATTCATATAGAAATAATTAAAATTTTAACCAAATTTTTGAAAATTTTTTGAAAATAATTGGTTTTTAACGAAGAATTTTATTATTTTCGAAAATAGTTGAATGTTTTTTTTGGAATTTTATGGAAATTCATGAAAATAATTGAATTCTTGTGAAGAATTTTTTTTAAATTAATATTCAAAAGAATTTAGTAAATCTAAAGAATTTTGCTATTAATGGAAATAATTGAATTCTTGAGAAGAATTTTTTTACAGTTTCCAGAAATAATTGAATTCTTTCGACGAATTTTAATAAAATTTTTAAGAATAATTCTATTTTTCGAGGAATTCGATTAAAATTGTATTAAAAATAATTGAAATTCTGCAATGAGTTTTACTATTTATGAAAATAATTAAATATATTGCGAATAATTTTTAAAAATAAAGTTATAATTACGGTGACAAACTTCCCTTGATTATTTTCAAAAAATTTAAATGAAATTCTTTAAAAGAATTGAATTATTTTTAATAGAATGTAAAGAAATTTGAATTATTTCAAAAATTTACAATTATTAAAATTAAAAATGGTGTTTTTAAATAAAAAATGGCGTCTTTAAAATTAAAAATATTACTTTTTAAATTAAAAAACGGCATTTTTAAAATTGAAATTGGTTCGTTTTAAAAAATTATAATTAAAAATGCCATTTCTTTTTAATTAAAATTAAAAATTGTCTTCAGTTACTATTTGTTAACTAGATTCATTGACTTTAAAGCGATTTATTATTCTCGTGAAGAGGACTTATATTACTAAACGCAGTTTATTTATCACCAGGCTTTAGTACATCATTGTTGCACTTAAGCGTGGGCAATAAAGGTATATACTTTTCATCATAACGAGACAAATTTACTACAATTGTAAAATTACAACAACAAAAATTTCCAAACAACATTTTATAAATCACACCAAAAAAAAATTGAAAATAATTTTCATTTTCTAAAACTGAAATTTCTATATAAATTTAAAAAAAAGAAATTTTGATTTCCTTTTTTATTATCTAATTAATTTTATTCTATATTTGTAAACAATATTCTATAAATTATAAATTTAAGAAGAATATTGAACTAAATAATTTCAATAAAATAAATTGAAAGGACAATGGAAAAATAAAAAATATTTTAAAAAATATAAGAAATTTTCCCATTTAACACAGTAGCGAACAAAGGAAACTATCACAATAGTGAAAATTCTACAACAATTCTCCTAGAATTTAGAAAGTAAAGAATCAAATTATCTTTATTTTTTTTCTAAAATGATATATTACGGAGATTATACATCACGTTTTGTAATATTAAGAGCTCGTATTCAATTTATTTTTACAAGGTATATAACTCTTTCAGAAAAAAATATTAATAAATAAATAAATAATGTGCAAAGTATGCGGAATTCAATTTTTCTGCAGATAATTTTTTTCCGCACTGAGAAAGTGCTTTGTTCTTTTAGAGAGACAATTTAAATTTAAATTACATTATGGCGAAAGTTCTTTTTCAATTCCACAATTTAGAAAAAAAAATTCGTGGGGACTCGAACCTAAACCTGATAATCATGCTCAATATGCCTTAACTACAGCCAATATTTCACTTCATTCGCATTATTTTCAACCAAATAATTGAATAAATTATTAATTAAAATTAAATTCCAGTGTAAAAATAAAATTTATAATTTATTATTTAAAATAAACTCACATTTTCTGACTGTGACGAGCGCCTCTGCCGCGGCACACAAAACAGCGGCACGCCGCTTTCCCTCTTCCTCTCCAATATAGCGGCTTCCGGTTTACCTCCGTTTGAAAAAGAAAAACACTGGCGCGCACAAATGTGCTCCTCTTTTTCTTTCAATAAAAATCACAAGCACAGATTTCACAAGAAAAAAATTATTCTTCTTTTCTTCAAATTGTATTTAAAAAATTATATTCGCATTTAAATGTACCAACGAATTGAAAACACTTATTTTGACACTATAAAAACACTGTGTTCGTTTTGTTTACATTCCACCTTCATTTCCCACCGGCTAAACAATTGAATTCAGTATGACGAGCCACTTCTCATAGATAATTTTCCAAACTTCCTCTGTTAAAATAGATAAATCCATGTGAATTTCATGATTTCTCATCAACAGGAACAATTTTTTTTTAAAATGGATTGAGGATTTCCTTTCTTTTGAGAATAGGAACAATAATAAATAGGAAAATTAAATGAAGAATGTTTCACTATTAATTATTTTCTAAACACTAATTGAGATATATACAATAACTGTTAGACTCGTTATTATATTGTTCCTTGAGTTTATGATTCTTTGTCTTATTCTAGGTAATTTTAATAGCTATTGAAATTAGTTAGAATTCGTCCGGATTATAATTAATCGACAATTTTGAAAGTATAAATACTGCAATTTATTATTTTTTTAATTTAATTATTTTGTGTGTAAAACATTGGGACCGTTTGAGAAACGGTAGAAAAAAGGAGGAATAAGTAAAAAATCGTAACGTTTTACCAGTAAAAAGTGACAATGAACTATTTCTATGAAATCTTTTAAGTGATTGACGTTTACGTTCTAAAATCTTCGACTAGAACTCGAATCCTGTTTAGCGTCTCAGTTTATACACTCGAACAAGAAATGGCCTTCGTGCAAGAATTTTTCCAATTCTTGATCGATTACTGGACCTTAGGGATTTTTTTTTGTTGAAAAATTAGTCCCTAGAAATGTGACAGTTGAAACAAAAAAGGATTTTTAGATTTTTATAATTTATAAACTTAATAAATTTATGCAAAATCGTAAAGAAAATATACTTTTCATAACTGTTTTTAAATAAAATTCCAAAAGTTGATTATTTAAAATTATCTTTCCTTAAAAACTTTTCTTAAAAAGTGACTTGCTTTGAAAAAAAACTTGCCAACTTCTACTCCAAAATGAATAACAATTAATTCTCTAAACTGTGTCAATTTTGTTGACATGTAGAAATCAAGTTACTTTCTATTTGATTTTGAATGTAGGTATCTTTAAAGAAAAAAAACACCAAGATACGTGTTTGATTCCTTTCGTTTAGTTTAATAAAACTTACAAATTTTCTTTCCATCCAGTATGTAAGATTTTCGTGATTGAGGTTAGAAATATGATGAGTAAAAATCACGAGTTGATGAGAAATCACAATATTCTTGAGAGGAAAAACGAATAACACGAGAAAACTCACTTTTGAAACTTTTTTTTCTTTGGAAATGAGAAAAAAAAACTACACGAAGTTAACACTATGCGCTCCGCGTAACAACTGAACCCGTTGTGCGATCATGGCTTCGCTATAGGTTTTGAAGGTACAACTCCCCACTTTCTCTCTGGTAAATGATCGCGTGCCCTCTTGACAAATACTGTATATTCCATTACTTCAACGCACTGTACAATGAAAATCCATTCAGGTACATCTACGTTCATTAATTTCTTTTTGCAAAAATATTTTTCTTTCGCAAAACTAATTTTTTCTTTACAAACTGTATTTTTTCGACTAAAATAAATTAAAAATAGTAAAAGAAATATTCATATTTTCAAAATCTGCTATTTTAATCAAATTTTTCAAAAGAATTTAATTATTTAAAGAAAATGCAATAAAAAATCGTTACAATAATTCAATTATATTCATAAATAGTAAAATTCTACACAGGATTTCAATTATTTAAAAAAAATTAATAAAAATTCGTTGTAAGAATTCAATTATTTTCGTAAATAATAAAATTCTTCACAGGATTTCAATTATTTTTAAAACGATTTTAAGTTAAATTCCTGGAAAAATGTAATTATTTTCAAAAATTTTTTGCAAGAATTAAATTACATTTTACAAATAAGGAAATTTAAATATTTTTAAAAACTGATATTTTAATCAAATTTTTCAAAAAAATTCAATTATTTAAAAAAAATTGTAATAAAAATTTGTTGCAAGAATTCAATTATTTTTATAAATAATAATATTCTACACAGGATTTCAATTATTTAAAAAAATTTAATAAATTATTCAATTATTTTTATAAATAATTAAATTCTTCACAGGATTTCAATTATTTTTAATACAATTTTAAGTATAAATTCTTCCAGAAATGTAATTATTTTTAAAATTTCTATTAAAATTCTTCAAAAGAAATCAATTATCAATTATTTGTAATAATTACTGCAAAAGTTCCTTGAGAATTTTTAAATCCATTTGTTTACAATTCAATTTTACGAAATTTCGATTATTTGTAAATCTTTCAATTAAATATTTAAAAAATAAAAATTTGAATTAATTTCTAAAAAGAAATTCAATTAAACTTTTTCAAAAAAAATTAATTTTACAGAATTGTCAGTTAAAAATATGAAAAAGTTAAATTTTCAAAGATTTCAATTTGAAAACTTTTCAAAATTCAATTATTTCTAAAAATTTACGTTAATAATGCTTTTAATATTCAATTATTTATCTAAAATTTTAACAGATATTCATTTTTAAATGAATTTTTATTAAAAAATTCCACGACAATTCAATTATTTAAATATAAAAAAAATAATTTATTGAATAATTGAATGTTTCTCAAAATTGAATTCTCATAAAGAACTTTATCAATAAATTTTTAAATAATTGAATTTTTTCGACGAATTTGAATAAAATTTTCAAGAATAATTTCATTTTTCGAGGAATTCAGTTATTAATAATAATTCATGAAAGTAATTGAATCTGTAAAAAATTTGAATGATTATTTATGTAAATAATTGAATTATTGGGAAAAAATTTATAAAAAAATTTGTAAATAGATGAATTCCTGAGAAATTTTTATTATTTATAAAAATAACAATTTGATATTTGTCTAGAATTTTATCAAAATTTTGTTTAAATAATTAAATTCTTTTATTTATTTATTAAAATAGTAGATATTGAAAATCATTAAATTGTGGAAAATTTTTGAAAATAATTTAATTTTTGCCAAGAATTTAATTAAAATTTTTGAAAATAATTGAATTTCAGCGAAGAATTTTGCTATTTACAAAAATAATTGAAATTAATAAAAAAAATTCTCGAAAATAATTCTAGTTCAGGGAAAAATTTTATTACTTTTAAAAATAATTTATATCTTGTGATGAATATTGGTTATTTATGAAAATAATTGAATTTTGCAAAGAATTTTCTACAATTCCTGAAAATAATTGAATTGTTAAAAAGAAATTTATTATTTATTAAAACAATTCAATCCCTGTAAAAAATTCTAGTATTTATTAAAATATTTGAATTATTGCGAAGAAATTTATAACATTTTTTGAAAATAATTGAATTCCTGAGAAATTTTTATTATTTATGTAAATAATTAACTGTTTGCGTAGAATTTTATTAAAATTTGTATAAAAAATAGAATTCATTTGGAAAATTTTATTAAAATTGTAGATATTGAAAATCATTAAATTTGAGGAACATTCTTGAAAATAATTGAAATTTTGCCAAGAATTTTATTACAATTTTTGAAAATAATTGATTTTCAGAGAAAAATTTTATTTTTTATAAAGATAATTGAAATGTTGACGAGAATTTTTTTTAAATTTTTTTAACATAATAATTGAATTTTTGTGAAGAATTTTATTAATTTTGAAAATAATTGAATTTCTGTAATAATTTGTAACTTCTCAAAAATTAAATTTTTTCCAGTACTTTAATTAATTTACATTCATATATCACGGAGAAAAGTATAAAGTAACTTTTACTATATTTTTATAGTAAAAAATTTCCGGTAAAGCATTTCTGGTAATGTTTACTACTTTTGGAGTAAATTTTGCTACGTTCGAAGTAAATATTTGTAAACATTAGTAAAATTTAGTACGAACGTAGAATATTTATTACCAAAAGTAGTAAAAATGACCAGAAATGCTTTACCGGAAATTTTTTACTATAAAAGTAGTAAAAGTTACTTTATATTTTTCTCCGTGTAAATTTAAAAAAAAAAAAAAAATGTGAAGAAAAAATTACTAGACTAGATCGAAAAGTAAAAGTCTATTTTTTTAAATAAAAACTAAAAGAAAAGATTCCAAAAATTAGGTACATCAGTATTCATTAATTATTTTCCGCAGAGAAAAATATTTTCGCCCAGAAAATTCATCTGTACGTAATAACAATAAAAAAATTATTTTTGTGTGAAAGAATAAATTTTTCAAATAGTTTAAAAGACAATGAAAAAATTCCAAATATCAAAAAATAAATGAACAGAGGCTCCATCAGGGGAATCAGATATACGTGAAAAAGTGAAAATTCTGATGATTCTGATGAAACAGGAAACCTGGTCAGGGCCAGATTGAGCGTGACCTTAAAAGATTTATTAAAATCTCATTACAAAAAAAGGGAATAAAAAAAATATAAGGAGAGTGATAATTTATACCCTCTGACGCGAAGTATATAAAATAGCCCTCGATTAAAGTGAAATTAATCTCAAGTTTATTCGTCCTTGCGTGCGCAATTTCAGTTTGTACTTTTCTGTATAATCATGTAACAGAACGCATCTATTCTAACTATATATATATATATATATATACACGTATAAAAAATATATACACACTGTATTGAAACAAGTTGAGTGCAGATGTTCAATGTTTAGGCTTCTCATGAGATGCGGGCTCTTCAAGACCTTTGCGTGTGGCACGGAAGATCAAAGAACAGATTAAATCTGACCCAAACTTCTTCTGACGTAAACTCTTTCAATCGCATATATAAATAATACAATCCAACTTTGTAACGCATTTCATTATTATTTCCGTTTCTTTCAATATTCATATATTTATACCTTTCGAAAAGGTTCAAAATTTTTTTATTTTCAATATAATATTTCAACTTATAGAAAATTGTATTCTTTTCCATATTTTTATACGAGAAAGAATAAAATTTTCTATAAGTTGAAATATTATTGAAAATAAAAAAATGAAATAAAAATATTTCAACTTATAGAAAATTTTATTCTTTTTCATATTTTTATACGCAAGAAGAATATAATTTTCTATTTGAAATATTATTGGAAATAAAAAATTAAAATAAAAAAATGAAATATTCACCTAATGCGATTTCTAAATTTCTTCTAAACATAAAAGAAAATTTTAAGCTGAGCAATGACTTTCTGACATTTTTTTTTTTTTTTTATATTTTCTTAGAAATTAAACATGCATTTCGTGCAAAAATTGAAGCAATAAATATTGATTTCAACGGAAAATGTTTTGTAATTCTTCATTATTGTTGCGTTCATTCATTGAGACTATCGTATTTCAAAATGATTTTGATTACGAATTTAATTTCTAAATTAAAAAAAAAAAATAAAATCGTGTTTTTAACGCGATGAATGTGAGAAAGACTTTTGTCCTACATGTCACGCAACTGGCCACGTTAATTAGTTCATAATCATTGTCCAGTGCTTGTTTACCGTTCTTTTAGCTCTTAAACATTTACCTAGACTTCAAATCCTGTTATTATGAATTATTTTTCACTCATTTCTTTATAAACAAAACGATTTTATTTTTCAAAAGTGAATCTGCAATTTTTTTCTATATTTAATAAAAAAAATTTTTTAAAATAATATAATAATAATAATAATAATAATAATATTATTATTATAATTATATGTAGTATATAATATCAAGCTTCGTACTCGATAATTAATAATTTTGAAAAAGTAGCTTAAAGAAAAAAAAAAGTAGTCAAAAATTAACTCTATCGAAAAATTAAACTTGACGGCTGAATTTTTTTATAATTTCTTAATTACATTCAAAAATAGAATAATTTTTCAAAATAAATATTTAAATACCTATTTATTTTGTCTACAGGAATTAAAATATTTCAAATGATTTCAATGTAACGCATTTTTTAAATTAAACTATTTCTAAAATTACAAAAGTAATTCTTTTAAAATTCAATCATTTTTTTCTTGAAATTCATAAATAAAATTATTCAAACCTTTAATTATTTTATTTTATTCATTTCTAAATCAATTTTTATTAGAAAGTTCTACGAGAATCCAATTATTGAAATAAAAAATAAATAATTTATTGAATAATTGAATATTGATTAAATTTGAATTCTAATAAAGAACTTTATCAATATTTTTTAAAATAATTGAATTTTTACGAAGAATTGCATTCAAATTTTTGATAATAATTAAATTCATTCAAGAAATGTAATTGTAACATTTAACAATGAATTGAAAATAATTATTACACTCTAAGAAACAAATTGTGTCAATTTTTTTTAAGAATTTTATTCAAATTTTTAAGAATAATTGTGTTTTTAGCGGAATTAATTAAAAATTATATTAAAAATAATTGAAATCTTGCGATGAATTTTATTATTTATGAAAATAATTGGATTCCTGTCACCGAAATTTAATAAAGTTTTTAAAATAATTGCATTCTAGAGAAGAATTTAAAAAAACCTTTTTAAAGAAATGATTTTTTTTTAATTGTATGAAAATTGTGTTTTTAATTGAATTTCTTTGAAAATTGTATATATTATTTATAAAAATAATTAAATTCTTTCAAAAAATGTTATTAAAATTATATTGAATACAATTCAAATATTATAAAGAATTTCATTAAAATTTTTTAAAGTAATTGACTTCTTTCAAATAATTTAAAAAAAATTTAAGAATAGTTCCATTTTTCGCGGAATTCATTTAAAATTGTATTAAAAATAATTGAAATCCTGCGATGAGTTTTATTATTTATTAAAAATAATTAAATTCTTGCAACGATTTTTATTAAAATTTTTTAAAATAATTGAATTTCTGTGAAAAATTTTATTATTTATAAAAATAATTGAATTCTTGCGGAAAATTATATAAAAAACTATTTAAATAATTGCTTTTTTCCAGAAATATTAGAAAAATTTTGTTTTAAATAATTGAATTCCTGTGAAAATTTTTTTATTTACGAAAATAATTGAATGTTTGAGAAGAATTTTATAAACATTTTTTTGAAATTATTCAATTTTTTTGGGAAATTTTTTATTAAAAATCATTGAATTACGAAAAATTTGTGAAAACAATTAAATCGTTTTAAAGAATTTCATTAAAATTTTCTAAAATAATTGAATTCTTTCAAAGAATTTTATTAAAATTTTTAAGAACAGTCGCATTTTTCGCGCAATTCATTTAAAATTGTATTAAAAATAATTGAAATCTGGCGATGAAGTTTAATATTTATAAAAATAATTGAATTCCTGAGAAGAATTTTATTAAAAAATTTTGAATTGTTTTCAATAACTAATAATAAATGAATAAAATACTAATAATAAATAAAAATTGAAAATAATATTTAATTCAGCTAAATAATAATAATTTTAATTCAGCTATGAAGAAGATTAAATTTTTTCAACCATAATTTATGCGTTAAAAATATGAAAAATTTGTCGAAAAAGGAAGAATCGTGCCTATGTGGCGTTTAATTTCGCTAAAAACTAAAGAGGGTAGTAAAGGTTTAGACTTACGAGTTCGTTCGGGGTACTATTTACTTGAGAGGGCAAGCGACGATGTGGGTGTGCCTCCGGACATAAGGGGAAATTTGATAATTTCTTTTCACCATAACAGGGAAATTGATAAATTCTGAAACAATAAACTAAATGTTTAAAAGAAGAAGATGGCCTTCTATAAAAAAAATAATAAAAAAAGCCCCCAGTGGACATGACAATAAATAAAAAGTTTCATTATTAAAAACTAAAAATATTTACTTAACTCTTAAATTTATTTACAAAAAGACGCGATGTAACTAGTAGGAAATATTTTCAGCACGTTCTTTGTCTCCAGCACCACTCGCAGTTGAATTCTCGACTGAATCTTCAGACGACTTTTCAGAAAAATATTTAAATTTTTCCTTCTTTTCCTCTTTTTCTCTCCTCTGCTCTTTTTTTAATTCCTTCTCATCTTCTTTCTCCACAGTCCAATTTCTTTTTAAATAATCGACCATTGGCAATGGCTTATCCAATTTAATGGTCTTTTCAATTTTCTGCGTCAAAAGAATTTCCAAAGGTCGAGCAATAAAATTGATCACTCTACAATCTCTTGGACTTCCAACTCGAGCCGTTCTTCCGCATCTGAAATTTGTACCAAAGAAACGAATTTTTAATTAAATAAATAAATAAAAATTTAAATATAAATTTTTTGGGGGAAAAATTATGTACCTGTGAATATATTCGAATGTTTGGAGGGGAAAATCGTAGTTGATGACATCTTTAACTGCAACGGTGTCCAAACCTCTTGAACCAGCGTCAGTTGTACAGAGAACATTATACATTCCCATTTGAAATTCTGCAAATACATTCCTTCTTTTTCTCAGTGGCATTGCACCATTGAGACGTGCGCATTTCACTTCAAATTCATCGAGAAATTGACTGATATAATCACAAGTTTTACTGTTATTGCAAAAAATAATAATCGATGTTTTATTCTTTGCTTTATTCTTTATTAATCGCAATAGTGTCATTGGTTTCTGTTGAACGCCAAGTCGTAGAAATTTTTGCGTCACAAAGACACGATGCACTTTATCAGTTGCAATTTCTTGTAAAGATGATGGCTAGAAAAAAATCCCTTGAGTCAGATGATTTTAGTAACACTAATAATTTTACTTTACCTAATTTTAGTTACTAAATATTTACTAAATACAAGAGAATTATTATTATCTCGCGTTAATTTTCTGAATTAGTTTTCTGAAATATGTGATGCACTTTCCGAAGAAAGATGTACATACAAAATTTTAAGTCAAATAATAATAATAATTTTGTGTACGAAAAAAATTAAAGACTCACGTCGACAATATTATCGAGCATTTCTTCAATGAACTGAGGCATTGTCGCGGCTACCATTGTCAATTGAGAATATTTTGGAAATCCATCAGCAAAATCTCGAAGTGGTCCAAACTGAAAAAAACGAAATTAGCATAAAAATGATTTAAAATTGGAAAAGTTGCAAATTTAATAGAAAATTCTTCTTGAGAAAATTGAATGTTTCAATAATTTTTAATAATTATTCAAAATATATTATTTTTCTTTTAATTATAGAGATTTAAGGGCATTGGAATCATTATGACGCCATAATGTTTCAAATGGCTTTAAATTATATTAAAAGAAGAGAAAAACTCTTCCAGAAGTTCAAATGGCTTTAAATTATATTGAAAGAAGAAAAAAAGTCTTACAGAAATTTTGCGCAAAAAGTATCGAAATTTGTCGTAAAAAGTTTCATCGAAGAGAGAATCCGCCTCGTCCAGTACAACATGTCGGACATATTTCATTTTATACAATCCAATTGTTGTGTGTTTGCTCAATGCTCCGAAGGATGCGACTATAATGTCAACATTACTTGCTGGTGGATTAAATATTTTACTTTTTATCCCTCCGCCAACAACAACTTTTGTTCTTATATCCAAATCTTTAGTTAAACGTAACACTGCTCTCTGCAATAAAAAAAAAGAAAAATTATTACTTTTCCTCTCTTTGAATTGAGTAATTCAGTTTACTCAATTAATATACAGGTTTGCCAGAAATATTTAATTTTGTTTTTCCTTGACTTTTTCCTGACTGATTTTGACTTTTTCCCTGACCCTGAAGAATATTCTGATTCACTCTAAAAATGATTAGATACTGAAAAAAATTTTCCAGCACTTTTACTAAAAATCCCTGGCTTTTCCCTGATTTCTCTGACCAATTCTACTTTCCCTAACTTTCCTGACCTGTGACAACCCTGATATAAGTAAAGAAATTAATATTAAATTAGTAAAAATTAAAATTAGAAATATTTAGAATGAAATTAAATCTTACTCCAATTTGAATTGCCAATTCTCTGCTTGGAGTTATAACCAGAGCAAGTGGATGATTAAATGGTCGATCGATTGCATTTTTCCAATTGAGAACTTGCTCAACCAAAGGTAATAAATAGGCTAAAGTTTTTCCACAGCCTGTTTCTGCTAATAATTTCACGTTTTGTTGATCCAATATCGCAGGTATTCCCAATGTTTGTATCCTCGTTGGTGTTTCAATATCGAAAGCATTTTGTAAATTTGCCAACAATTCGTTAGAAACTCCCAAATCTTTAAAGCTCATTTCCTCCTCCTCTTCTTTTTGTTTTGGTTCTTTATTGACTTCTTCAACCTGAAAAGTAAATTTTACCTCTTACAAAAATGTACTTTTAAAAATGTACTTTAAAAATATACTTTTTTACAGTTGAAAATAAAAAAAAGGAAAAAAAATAAAAAGAAATAAAAAGAAAAATTATGAATAATAAAGTTGTATGGTAATTATTACAGGATGAATTGTAAAATAATCTCCCTTCGATTTGCTTAAATGCCATTTGTCTGACGCCAATGGCATAGGTTGAAATTTCGGATAAGTCTGCCCTTGGAAATGATTAAATTCCTTTCGTTTACAAGTAATTACTGCGACTCTTTTCTTTTTTCCTCCGAGATTTTCCAAATTCTTTTCTTCATTTTCTTCGATTTTAATGTACGTCGGTTCCTGTAAAAAAAGAACATAAATTGACCATGAAAATTGTTATTCACGTGCCTTATTATACTTCAGGAGAACTATTTTATGAACCTGTTTTCTTAAGAGCATGTTAAATTTATTCAACTTTTTCAAAACTTAATGTGAAAATCTGAAATTTTGACATGGTCTTAATTTAGCAGGACAACTATTAACAATAACAAATACAAATCATAAAATGACTATCATGGTTATACTATAGTAAACATTTTAGTAAAAATAAATTAACTCACCTCAACATATGTGCAAAATCTACTGGAAACAACAACACAAGAATTCACGTTTCTTTGAACAATACTATAAATACGCGGTAACATTGTTCACTTATTAAAACAATTAATTTACAATCAAAAATAAAAGCCGCATTAACACATGTGTTGCCATTTTAAACATAACCAAAAAAAAAATCAGCTGACTCTGACCAATGGAAGAAAAATGGCGCGAAATATGAAAAAATTTTAAAAAAGAATAAAAGAAAAAAAAATAAAAAGAATAAAATAAAATAAATAAACAAAAATAACTCTGGGGTTAAAATTAGAATTGATTAGAATAAAAAGAATTTTTATGAAATAAACACTACGAATACAATTAATTAAAACAAAAGTTTTATTAAAACCAATATATAAAGTGCTTTTTTGTTATCACGCATAATAGTGAAATATCAATCGCACTTGAATAATTTTTTTTACATCAATTACATTTTCATAAAATGTAATTCTCTTTCTCTCTTTTAAATCTTCAATTGTATATAAATAGTGAACAATAACTAGAGGTACAAAAATTATGAGATATATTGCAACACTTAATAAATGGACTGGTATTAAAATTCCCTTGAGAAAATAAAAATAAAAAATAATTAGCAAAATTCTATTAGACGAAATATTTTTTGTTTCGCATTATCGACATTTCTTTTTATCCATAAAACATTAACAACTCTTTTTAAAAAAAAAGAAATTTAGTCTCAACACGAAGATATTTACAATCTTCTTTTGTCAAAATAATCGCAATATTTTCTTTTGTAGTCGAATCTTTTTCTTAAGAAAACGACATAAAGAAAATATTTTCATTTTCTTGTTCTTATATAATATAGAAAATATGTACAAAACTACAGGTATTTTTACAAAAAAAAATAGTATTAATTTAAAGAACAAGGCCTTCGTATGTCAAACCTTCGGATTCTGGGGATTCTATTCGATTTCGTAAATGTTCTAAAGTATTTGCCAAATGCTTTTGTATTTGTTCCGTTTCTTCACTCACTTCTAAATTTGGTAATTCCTCGCGTATTTTTGCTATTACTTGATTCAAAATTTGAATTGTTACCTAAAATTAAAATTTGTTTTCGATTAGAATGTAAAGAGTAAATAATTTTAGCTTAAGACTAATTGAGATAAAATGAAAGAGACCTAACGCGACAAGAGATTTAAGTTATTTTAAAATAATTTTACGAAAGTTCTTCTCGAATTCAATTATTTAAATACAAAAACTCAATTTTTTATAATAATTGTAACTATCTGTGATTTTATATTTCAGTTATTATATGGTAAAATATTTTCAAAAAATTATAATAAAGACATTTTTACAATTAATTTTTCAATAATTTTTGAAAGATAATAGTTTTTTAATTATAAACAATTGAAAAATTTCCAAACAATTGAAATTTGGTAAAATCTTTTAAAAATAATTGAATTTTTGAAAAATATAAATAAAAATAATCAAATTTTTAAAGAATTTTAATTTCTTTTTCATAAATAATAACATTCTTCGGAAGATTATTCAATTATTATCAATAAAATTTCACGCAAGAATTAAATTTTTTTCTTAATTCGTTATAAAATTTTTCAAAAGAATTCAATTATTTTCTAAAATTTGAATAAAATTCTTCCTAAATATTCAATTATTTTCAATACAATCTGAACTAAATTCCTAAAAAGAATTAAAATTTTTATCGAAACAATTATATTATTTTTCAAAAATTTTAATAAAAATCTTTGCAAGATTTCAATTATTTTCATAAATAATAAAATTTTTCAAAGAATTTCAATTATTTTTAAAAATTCTAATAAAATTCTTCCTAAAAATTCAATTATATTCATTAATAATAAAATTCTTCAAAGGATTTCAATTATTTTCAAAAATTTGAAATAAATTCTTGTCAAGAAATCCTTTCGAAGTAAAATTCATCGTAAAAATTATGTTGAAAATTATTTTAAAAAGTAGAAAAAATTCTTTGTTTAATTCAATTATTTTCAAAATTTTCAATTGAAATTATTCAAAAAACTACATTATATTTAAAAAACACAAAGAAAAGAAGAAAGGAAGAAAGAATTTAATTATTTTCTATATTCTAATAAAATTCCTCGAATGAATTAAATTATTTTAGAAAATTGTAATAAAATTCTTAAAAGATTTTAATTATTCTAAATTATTCAAAAATTTTTAATAAAATTCAATAATTAAGGTCATGTTATTCAGTGGTCACGGGCTCCATATACTTCACTATGGGAACACGTGACCACTGAATAACATGACCTTAAATGATTAATTTCAATTATTAAGAAACACGATTATTTTAAAAACTTGGAAGAAATTGTTCATAAAATTAAATTACTTTCAAAATTTTCAATTAAAATTATTAAAGAAACTTCATTACATAAAAAAAAAAAATTAAAGAAATTCTTCAAAAGAATCTAATTATGATTTTTAAAAATTTAATAAAATTAACGATTATTAATATAGATTTTCAACATGACTTTTTTCTCTAAAATGTTAAAAATAATTCTAAAATGTTATTTTTCCTGTGTATTCGAATTTTCGGAAATTTGTAATTAAAAATATTGACAATATTGAATTTTAAAAAATTAGAAGCTAATTTTAATTGATTTTCAATTTTAAATTTTACATTTAAAGATTTTTCCATTAACATTTTTGATAATTCAATTATTTTCAAAATTTGAAACTAAAAATTCTTCAAACGTTGATTTTTCAAAATTGTAACAAAATACTTGAAAAAATTAATTATTTTCAATTAAATTTTAGAAAATTTCAATTTCAAAAAGGTTTTTTTACAGAAATATTTGAAAAATTTAAATATCTCTTAAAAAAGTTATTCAAAAATAATTTTTGAAAGATTTGTTTATAGTTATTTTTCGCACTTTAAAAATCGGTATAAGTTGCATTTTATATTTAAAAAATGTGGTATTTTGTTGCAATATTTAGAAGAAAAGTCGAAAAATTTACAATTTTTGAAAATAAGTCTGAAAAAGTATCAATTTTTTTAATTTCCCTTTCAAAAATTTTTTCTTTCCGATAATAGCATTTTTTTTTTTTGTAAAAGTATTTCTTATTGAATATTTTGGACATTGTAAAGATTTAATTATTTTTAATTTGCACTGAGAGTTAAACCTCTTTGAGTATTTTCACTTTGAAGTTAACAATCTCTTGTAGCTATAGGTCTTTTTCACTGTGAAGCGTCTAAATTTATTAAAAATATTAAATTATTCTTACGGATGCATTTCCTTTTTCATAAAAATAAATATAGTGATTTAATAGTTCAACGTAGAGTTGAACTTGAACGGACGTGTCCATACACTGACTTGCAATGCGTATTCCCTTCTTCAAACAGTCTAATACTTTGTTTCCGTCTTGCATCTAAAAGAATTTTAATTTCTAATTTTATTAAAATTCGTTATTAGTTTCTATCACTTTGTTTAGAATTTTACCCAATTTGTACTGTTTTGTACCATTTGTACTGTTAAAAATTATAATTTAATTCGTTCAGAATATTGTATGGAGCAATTAGACCAAAATTAGAATTAGAATTAGAATAAGAAAATTTAGGAGAAAAATTACCTCTTTTCCTTCAGTGGCTAAAGATTTTCCCGACCAAAAGATGTGTGAACATGTTGCAACTCCACGACACTGATCAGGTTTTCGTAAAAGTTTACTGGCATAGAGTGCACATTGATTTCTCACCGGTTCGGCGTTCTCCTCGCCGAAACAACTCATTTGCTCGAAAGTTGCAATTATCAATGTAATCGCTGCAAGTTGCGCCTTTGAGTCACTAATTTCATCCTCGTAAATTGAAAAAGCTTGACTCATATATTCATAGGCGACCATTTCGAAATTATCGAAACGAATCTCTCCGATTGCAAGTGCCCCTTGCAAAAATAATCTCAACGGTAATTCGGCAAGTTCGGCCTTCATTAATGCCATAATCGTCGTGTGACAAAATTGGAAAATCTTTTGACATTTCTTCTGCCACATTTCGTCCTGTAAAATAGAATTTTATCACAATTTTATTAATTTAACTGTAGAATAATCATGTTTTAAAATTTTAAAATGCCTCAAAAATTTTTTTGAAAATGCTATTCTAAATTAATTAAATTCCTTTGGGGATTTTATTATTTATGACGTTAAAAAAATAGTAAATAGTACGTTTTAGTATATGAGTGCGAAGCCTGAAATCTAAATATAGAAATTATAGATATTTTTTTAAAATTAAGTAGTTAAAAAAAGAAAAATTTTAATACAAACACTGTCACTCAAGTTTTTATAGGTGAATGCAAGTTGATAAGCTTGGAAAACAATCGGTGGTAGTGTGAATTTAATCCGTTTATTGCCACCGGCACTGAAATGTTTTCGAGCCGCGCTCAAAATCATATATTGTTGATCGGCCGTTTCCGATTTGAAATGATGAATTAATCGACCAAGTAAGCCCTGCTCCTCGGCAAAATCTTCTGGATCCTCTTCAATATTTGGCTGATCCGGTTGATCTTGCACCAATGGCGCTGCAATTGATAAAATAGCGTCCACCTGTTCCTGCGTTGGAATTAGCGTCTCATTATCAAGAATATTGCTAATAACATAAATCGCCAACATTTTTCTCCCCTCATAATCAAAATATTCCAATAGCGGAGCAAAATTCTCCAATTTCAAAACAACTAAAATATTCTTATAATTATCCACTGGAATTTTCATCAGTCTCGCTAATTCCCTCGAAACAGCGCTATTGTATTCCAATCTTTAAGAAAATAATTAAAATTATTTTTTCCATCAAATAGAAATCAATTATTTTACACATTTATAATGATCAGAAAGAATTAAAAAGAAAGAATTTCTTACTTTTCGATGTTTAATTTTTGGAAGATTTGCACTGTCGTATGAAGGACCTTATCGACATAATCCACCCGATCTGGATAACATTTATGTGCTAGATTAATTAAAGCCACTTGCAGTGAAACAATATCCTCCGGTGGCATATCTTGTCTATTCTGTAGGGGAAAAAATCGTTAATTCACCTGCGAGTATTTACACACAACTGTTGTATGTTGTATGAAAAATTGAAAAAAGTAAATAATCAGTAATGTTCTTTGACCCCGAATTTATCTCCCGATTGTCGAGTGCGAAAAAAAGGAAGAAAAAAATCAATAAATATTATTTCCACGAACGACAAAGTTATTCTTATTACTGTTCTCAGACTTAAACTAGACGAGAGAAAGGAAATCTTGATTTTGTTAATCATGGAACTATCAAGAAAAAGTGCAGTACCTAATCATCACTGAACAGTCCACAAAATTTTGATAAAATCACTAAATTTTATTTTTATTAGAATTTAATAAAAAAATCAGTTATTAGAAAAAATTAGTTCTTAGAATTTAAGAAAAAAAATCACTTCACCTGGATAATGGAAGCAACCTGATCGCTAAATACATCGAATAGTTTAACATCTTGTGGAATCCCGGCGAGTTGACTTGGACTCCCCGGACCGCCAACTCCTTCTGATCTTTGACTAAATGCGGCAAGACGATCGATTAGTGAAATTATTATGTTTTTCACATTGACACCGTTTTGCAATTCAGCGCAAGATTTCAGAAAAGCGTTCAGTGTTTGCAAGTGAAACTCGTCAGGGAAGACCTGAAAAAAATTTTAATCATTAGAAATAAATGGAGAAACGATTTTTAGAATTAAGAAAGAAATGTGACTTGGTAGCAAGGTAACAAATTATTGAACAAAATTTACCTGAATTATACATTCCATGAGATATTCTTGGGCAATTGCATCACGACAACTGACCACTTGCTCCAAAATTCCAGGAAGAACCAACTAAAAAAATTAAAGCAAAAAAAATTAGTAAAATTGCTACAAACTAGAATAAAAATTACTAGTATTTGATAAATAAAATAAAAAATTTAATAAAATTCAAAATAAAATTTCAAAAAATTCGTTGCAAGAATTCAATTATATTCATAAATAATAAAATTCTTGACAGAATTTAAATTATTTAAAAGAAATGTAATAAAATTCATTGCAAGAATTCAATTATTTTCGTAAATAATAAAATTATTCACATTATTTCAATTATTTTCTTACATAATAAAATTCTTCAGAGGATCTCAATTATTTTTAATACAATTTTAAGTAAATTCTTCGAGAAACGTAATTATTTTAAAAATTTTTATTAAAATTCTTCGAAAGAAATCAATTATTAATTATTATTTTTAATAATTATTGCAAAAGTTCCTTGAGAATTTTTAAATCCATTTGTTTACAATTCAATTTTACGAAATTTCGATCATTTGGAAATCTTTCAATTAAATATTTGAATTTAAAAAATAGAAACATGAAATAAGTTTAAAAAAATTCAATTAATCTTTTTCAAAAAAATTAATTCTACAGAATTGTTAGTTAAAAGTATGGGAAATTTAAATATTTAAAGATTTCAATTTTAAACCTTTTCAAAATTGAACTCTTTCTTATAATTCATACAATAATGCTTCAAATATTTAATTATTATCTAAAATTTTAACTGAAATTTATTTTTAAATGAATTTTTATTAGAAAATTGTACGAGAATTCAATTATTTAAATAAAAAGATAAATAATTTATTCAGTAATTGAAAAAAATAAAAATAATTGAAATTCTGCGATGAGTTTCATTATTTATGAAAATAATTCAATATCTGCAATCATTATCTAAAATTTTAACTAAAATTCATTATTAAATAAATTTCAATTAGAAAATTCTACGAGAATTCAATTATTTAAACACAAAAATAAATAACTTACCGAGTAATTGATAAAAAATAAGAATAATTGAAATTCTGCGATGAGTTTTATTATTTATAAAAATAATTGAATTCCCAAAACGGAATTTTATTATTTATGAAAATAATGGAATTATTGCGAAGAAATGTATAAAAAAAATTGTAAATAATAGAATTCATGTGAAGAATTTTATTACTTTTGAAAATAATTGAATTCTTGTGATGAATATTGTTATTTATGAATAATTATAATTGTTTTTATTACAAAGAATTTTATTAAAATTTCTGAAAATAATTGAATTTCTATGAAGAATTTCGTTATTTATCAAGATAATTGAATTCCTTCGAAGAATGGCGTTAAATTTTTTAAAAATAATTGAAATCCCGAGCTGAGTTTTATTATTTATGAAAATAATTGAATTCTTGCAACGAATTTTATTAAAAATTTTTAAAATAATTGAATTCATGCGAAAAACTTTACAAAAATCTGTTAAATAATTTATTTTCTTTGAAAAAAATTTAAGATTATTGTGTTTTAAATACTTCAATTCCTGTGAAAATGTTATTATTTACAAAAATAATTAAATGTTTGTTAAAAATTTTTTTCAAATAATTGAATTCTTTAGGAAAGTTTTATTAAAATAGTAAATATTGAAAATTATTAAATTGATGAAAATTTGTGAGAATAATTAAAATTTGCCAAGAATTCTATTAAAATTTTTAAAAACAATTGAATTTGGAAAAGAATTTTGTAATTTTTAGAGATAATTGAATTTCTGCGAAGAATTTTATTACTTTTGAAAATAATTGAATTTTTGCAATCATTTTTGTAGATAATTTCTCCAAAATTCAATTTTTTCCAGTACTTTAATAAAAATCCCTGACTTTTCCCTGATCTCCCTGACCCGTGGCAATCCTGATTTATCAGTATAATTTATAATACTATAATAATTAAAATACGAGTTTGTTTATAATTACAAACGAACCTGACTGAATTAAGTAAATAATTACAATATTCTTGAAACGAAAAAAAGATTTATTCACCCTTTTGTAAATATCCAGAGTCACCGATTCCAATTGACTCAATCGAACCAAATTTGTTCCAACTAAAATCCTCAATTCCTCTCTTTCACGCTCTCGTCTCTCTCTATCGCGACTATGTCCCTGATGCTGCATTCGCACCCACAATTTATTCATTTCGGCAAAATTCATCAGAACAAAATCAATACTGTCACGTACCTGAAATGAAAATTATAAAATCAACTTCAAATTTCGAATTAAAACTGAAATTTTCCTTTTTCTTAAAAAAAGAAAATAATTTGAAAAAGCAAGGAATTTTTGTTCGTACGGTTCCTTCCTCGTCGTCCCCCTCCGGAGAGTCTGGCAAAATATTTCTCGTGCATTGAAGTAAATAGTTTCTTAAAAAGAGTCCTCGCAAGGGATGTTGAACTCCTCGACACATCTCAACGAGATCACGTAAAAGATCTCTTTTAAGGCATGGATTCGTTTTGATGTACACCAATCCAACTGTGATTAGCAGATAGCTGCAAAAGAAATAGATTTTTTTTAAATTGTAGTGGAAATTCTCAAAAAAAAATAAAAGTATCCAAATAGTACCAAATCGCAAAAAATTATTAAATACTCACAGTCTGGGAACAATATTTCCGGCATATTGTACCAATTCATACAAATCAGTAACTTTTCTTCCCTTTTGAAATTCGTCTAGTAAAAATAATTCCAAATGTCGCAGTTCATCGGTAATTGCCATATCTGATTTTCAAATGAAAAAAAAAAGTTATTTTAAATTAAAATTAGTTTTACAAAGCTCTTCAGAATATTTTTTTTACAAAGTGAGACAATTTTTTGTTTTGAAAAAAACTTACAGAGTTCGTAGTAGCTCTTGGGACTCAATAAAGAGGTGCGAAGTTCACCGAGCATTGTCGATGCATGTTTCAATGCATCCATGAGTTTTGATTTATCCAAATTGTGTTTCATTTCAAAGGCTTGCACCTTAACGACACTGCTCGCATCCTCCAACAATTTCTCCTGCTCCTCAAGTCCTGTCATTGCAGGTGTCGAAGGCTGTGAGAAAAACAAAGATACCTAACAACAAATGCCAGGTAGATTCATGCAATTTAAGCTAAAAACAAATTCAACTACTGAAGAAACAAACAGCTACAAAATTAAAAATATACAAAAATAGATGCAAAGTTGAATTTCTATCATACACTATAGTATATAATTTGCTGATTAAATAATTCTGCAGGTTTATAATACAAATTTACAATAAAATTTAGAATTTTATAATTCGATTATTTATAATTTTACAGTTGAAAAATTTTGAATTTCATCTAAAAAATTTGAATGAAATGATTAGATTCCAGGGAATTGTATCGCATTTTTATTAAGATCAAGATGTAATTGTTTGTGGTAAATATAATTATTCTCCCACCTCTCATGACATATGGATATTTAGGGTAACCCTAGAAAATCCTAGGGATATTGAAGGATATTCAGACAATTTAGATAAAGTACAAGTATCCAAATTGTCAAAAAACATCCAAAATCTCCTAAATATCCATCTATTATAAGGATACTTAAAAAAAAAGTTGTTGCAAGCATTACATGCACGAAATTAAATCCCCACGGTAAATGAATATTCGATTCGAACTTTTTATCAGATTTGATTATCAAAGCAGACTTTTTTGCAAAACAACAATTAATTTTTGCAAACAGTTAATTATAGTCTGCTGCAGAATATCTTCAATATCCAGAAAATATCCATCTACTTTGGGGGGGAATTTAACAAAAAATTATCAACAATGTGTTATTTTTCATGCACAATTTAGCAGACACACTAATTCAAGGTTAGGAGACCACCCACTGTATTAATTTTCGTTGATCAGCAACCAGCAAATGTATTCTTATCGTTTAGATGATAAGAAGACAGTTATTTAATTCAATACAGTTAAATTTGATTGACAGATAGCCATTATTTAATATATATCCGTAAAGTGGTCGAACTTGTTTTGAAGAGATGTTTTACTGATTTGCATTTCAATATACAAATTTTTAAGTAGTTTTGTTTTTAATTAGTTGATCCTATTTTTCTGTAGAAATCACTAGGAATAGCACTTACCATTGTTTTTTTTTGTTAAATTAGAAATAATACTTTTTTAATTATTAAAAAAAATCACTGTCTTAGCACACAAATGTGGATAATGCACTTTTCTATATAAACCAAATATAAACCTATCCCTGAAATAATGCGCATGCGTCACAAGATGTCCGCCTCTGCGTTTGTGTGCTGTGGACGTGACACACTTTCGGAAATATTTCTATTTATTTTTCTACTGTGGATAGAAATAAATATATATTTTTAATTTAATTTTTAATTTTTGATATTAAAATATATTTTCAAAGTCAAACTTTACATTCATGTTTCCTTAGTTCAAATTTGACCGCGGACTAATTTTTCATTGGTTCTTCTTGTAGAACTGATACTCGACAGCCAATTAAATTTAGTACCGTTCACTTATTCTGTGGAAACTTGTGAACAAGCCTTTAACTTTTCACGCATGATTTTTAGGTTATGTTGCATGACAGACAGTAAACAAATATACCCGAAATATCCAAAAAACCAAGTGTAAATTGAGTAATTATCGTTATTATTAACATTTATCACAATGAGTTCGAGTGGAATAAAATATATGAAGAAACCGTGAGTTGGAAAATGTTTTTAATTATTCTATCTGTTTTTTTTAAATCGAAAACTTCAATATAATTATTTACGTATGTGAACAAAATTTCCTGTATTTTTACCGTTTTAAGTAATTAATTATAACAGTTTTTAATTCTCTCTGGTAAATTTAATACTTTTAATATCTCCGTCCAAATTTAAATAAATATCTCACTTTCATAACTTTTAGTAAATTTACTAAACTGTAAACAAATTTTCTGTCGATTTAGTTTTCTTACGGAATTTTAGTTTATATTTTTTTTTATTAATATTTTTCGCAAAATCAATTAGTATTTACTGATCGAATATAATTCACTGCAAACAATTTTTCGCTACTAGATGTTAATTATCGATAATTTGGAATTAAATAAATACGCGTTTAATTCTCTATTATAAAATAATGAACTTATTTTATAAGACTTGAACAGTCTCCAAAAGAAATATTTTTGGTTTTCTAACAAATTTCACTAAACACCTTTGACAGAAATCCATTTCCACAAGGAATGAGGTGTCAAAAATGTTTGGAAATGGGTCATTGGAGTTATGAGTGCAAAGGAAAACGAAAGTACGTTCACAGATCGTCACGAACAACACTCCTTCGGAAGCAATTGCAAAAAAAGGAGACCCCTGATATGTAAGTTTTTATTCTATCCTCTTTTTAATCTATATTTTAGATTCTAATTTATAAAAAAAGTTAAACGATTAACAGGGTTGCCAGAAAAATTTAATTAAATAATTAAATTTTACGAGAAAATTGATTTAAAATTGTATTAAAAATGATTGAAATTGTGCGATGAGTTTTATTATTTATGAAAATAATTGAATTCTTGGGACGAATTTTACAAAAATATTTTTAAATAATTGATTTTCTTTGAAAAATTTTATGAAAATTGTGATTTAAATACTTGAATTCCTGTGAAAATTTTATTACCTATTTATAAAAGTAATTAAATGTTTGCAAAGAATTTAAAAAAATTTTTTGCTAAAATAATTGAATTCTTTTGGAAACTTTTATTAAAATACTAGATATTGAAAATTATTGAATTTAGGAAAAGTTTTGAGAATAATTGAAATTTTGCCAAGAATTTTAATTAAATTTTTGAAAATAATTGAAATTTTACCTAGAATTTAAAAAGAATTTTTGAAAATAATTGAATTTTTGCGAAGAATTTTATTACTTTTGTAAATAATTGAATTTTTGCCGAGAATTTTATTTCTTTTGCCGAGAATTTTATTTCTTTTGAAAATAATTATATTTCTGCGAAAAATTTTATTACTTTTGAAAATAATTGAATTTTTGCAATTATTTGAAACTTCTCAAAAATTCAATTTTTTTTATTATTATTTTCTGAAGGCAAACCCTGTGGCAACCCTGATTTAAAAAAGAAATTATAAAAAGTTGCAAATTTTTAAAAATGTTTAAAAAAAGTTTTTTGTGTAAATCATAGAAAGTACTTACTTGATTTTTTTCTCTCCTAAGTGAACCGGAAACTGCGGTGGTCAAGGAGGAGAAGGTTAAGAAGAATAAGAAAAGGAAGGATTCTGTCAGTTCGAGTAGTTCAGAAAGTTCATCAAGTTCAAGTAGTGATAGTGATAGTTCATCGGATTCGGATTCAAGTAACAGTGACTCGAGTAGCTCTAGTAGTTCTAGTAGCAGTTCCAGTTCTTCGAGCAGCAGCAGTAGCAGTAATTCAAGTCACACTTCTAGTAAAGTATCGAGCAAGAAAAAAAAAAAGATAAAACATAATTAGTTAAAAAAATTCTTTTTTTTTAATCAATCAATTCCTAATTCTGTAAATTTCAACAAATGATTGTAATTATTTTTGTAATCTATTGTCATGACGTTTTTATTAAAACAAAATTTATTAATTCTTGTTTTTTTTCTTTTTGACGTTGTTTCATGGATCTTCAGTTTTTTTAAATAGAAAAAAAAACATTTATAAATTAATTAAAATAGTTAAAAAAGTAAAAAAAATTTAATTCAACTTACGCGAATTTCTTTGTCCGTTTTTTTCTTAGAAAAATATAAATAAAATGGTATAAAAAGAGGGAGGTAGACATTTTTTTCGGAGGGATTAATCGCAATCCATGGCGGGTAGAATGTTTACTATTACTTTTCGTTTTGGATCGTAACTGAAGTGATTCATTTTGAATATTTCGCTTTCGTAGAATGATGAGAGATCGTGAATTTTTATCTGCCTCGCCTGAAATAAGATTATTTAACATTAATTAAAAGAAAGTAATAATTAATAATTATGAATTAATAATTAAATTAAATTCTTTCGAGAAAATGTAATTAAAATTGTATTGAAAATAATTGAATTGCTCTCAAGAATTTTATTATTTATGAGAATAATTAAATTCTTGCGAAAATTTTTTTTTTAATAATAAACAAGAATATTTAATATTATTAATGAAACTAGAGAGAAAAGAAACTTTACCCGATCTTGAAGTTCTTTTTCGGAAACTTCGACAGTTGTGACACGATTGCCATGCATTGCACGTTGGAAAGCAAGATGATCGTGAGTGATTCCCCTCAGGATGTGATAGAGAAGATCACTGTGATCCTCCTTGTAGTTAAGATCGGCTTTGAATGTCTGAAATAAAAATGATTAGATTTTGTGATAATATTCGAGAAAGTCACTATTTTTGAGAATAAATTGAAAAAAGTCGCAATATTTGAAAATAAGTCAAAAAAAGTCTCATTTTTTGAAATTTTGTAATATATACACACCTGCATCATACTCTTTTTAACCGAATATTTTTGTGTCTCGACGAAACTCTGCAGAACCATTTTGATAGCCATATTAACGTCCTCCTCACGAATGTAATCACGTAACTGCATTTTTGCACACGCCTCCGACATTCTTATAATTGCCTCAATATGTCGGACAGTGATCGGAAGACTTCCCGTCGACTTTAAAATCAATTCAAAATTTCCCATTCAATAAATAAATCTTTTATGAAAAGTAAACCTGTTATTCCAAAGTGTATACTCACCAAACTCTCTTGACGCAGATCTTTATATTTTCTGGCAATTTTATCATTGTCAATGTTCGTTAATTTCGGATGAACGTTTTGCTTCGCGTAAACAATGTATTTTTTCAAGAGATCCTGAGGTATTGGCAATTCCGTGCTGGGAGTTTGGAAATCAAGTATTTCTGAATCGTCGGAGAAATTTGGATGATGTTTAATGTGTGAATTGACGACGAATTTCGCCAGCCTCTCATCATCATTTGCGTCTTTTTCATCCTTAACGATACACAAAATATCGAAACGCGAAAGAATTGGATCCGATAGATTTACCTGTAGGGAAAAGAGAATTTTTGTTAATTATCTATTTTTTCCAAATATTGAAAATATTTTATAAAAAATTTTTTGTACATTTTCGGAGAAAGTCATGCTGGGATCGTATCTTCCGCCTATGGGATTAGCGGCAGCAATAACTGAACATCGAGCTTGAAGTGATGTCACGATACCGGCTTTTGAAATTGAAATCGTTTGTTGTTCCATGGCTTCGTGAATTGATGTTCTGTCTTGATCGTTCATCTAAATTACAAAAAAAAAGTTTGTACGTAAGTAAATCTAGTAATTAGAGCCAAAATTCTATTTTTAAAAAAATTAAATTAAAAGGAAATTATTGTCAGAAATAGAAAAAATGGAAGAAGTTGCATAAGAATTTATGGTAATTTTATAGTTTTTGAAGCAAACAAAAAAGACACAAAAATTCGTAATTTTCTTGTGAATTCTAAAAATTAAATTTTTTTCCAGTACTTTTAATAAAAATCCCTAACTTTTTCCTGATTTTCCTGACCTGTGGCAACCCTGGAATAAAAATAAAAGCTTACTTTATCGAACTCGTCAATGAGACAAATTCCCGTGTCGGCCAAAACTAAAGCTCCAGCTTCCAAGGTCCATTCTCTTGTTTGCGGCGAACGTCTCACGTAAGCCGTGAGACCGACAGCCGAAGCTCCTTGACCAGTTGTGAAAATCGCTCTCGGTGCTATTTTCTCCGTATATTTCAAAAACTGCGATTTTGCCGTTCCCGGGTCTCCACAAACCAGAACGTTAATGTCTCCTCTCACCTTGTGCTTCTTTCCTGAAATGAGAAAAAAAAACAATAAAGTTTATTTTTCTCCAATTTACGACGCACTCTCAACAAAAGAATACTATTTTCTCAACCTGGATTTTTGGAAACACCGCCGAAAATTGCCATTGCCAATGCTTGCTTAATGAACTTGTGTCCGTAAATCGAAGGCGCCATACTCGCAACAATTCGATCTGTGATTCTCGGATCTTTGCTCAATTCCCTAATACTGTTCACGTCCTCTTCCGTTAACGATGCAACGATATCCTTTGAATCCTTCACGTGCAAATGATTCGCGAGAAGAACAGTGGAGAATATCGGAAAACCCTCGTTTGTATTTAACGAACCATCGTAATTATTCGTATAAATTCCCGTGACGTCAATTTCATCGCCGGGTTTACAACGATCACACAAATCAGACAATAAAATGCAATCCTTACTTCGCGGAATACGCCCCGCGGGAATTCTTCCCGGCGATTCTTGAATTGTTATCTTTTGATAGTTACGATACAACGTTTGCTCCATATTAATCTAAATGAGAAAAATTAAAAATCTTCAATAATTGAATAATCTTCTAAATTACACTTTCTTACTTTCTCTAATTTTACAATTAAAGGTAATTCAAGTAAAAAATTAATCAAATACCATGAAAGGACCAGTGCTCTGACATTGTGGACAGGAACCAGGTTTGAATTCTGTACTTTGCGATTGGACGAACGGACCCAAAACGCAAGCACATTTATTGCAATCGAATTTCACGACTGATAATTGTGGCATAACTCCGGTTGTCGCCGTCACCACACCTAGAGTTCTTACCAGTTGATTTACATGCAATTTCCTGGGAACACAAAAAATTTTGTCATTTTCTGGTTTCGTACTCGATAATTAATTTTAAAAAGTAGCAAAAAGGAGCTTAAAGTCAGAAAAAGTAGTAAAAGAGTAGCTATCGAAAAATTGACTTTTTGCAAGAGTAGAATTTAGTAAATAAGTGCAAAGTCTGTTAATATTTAAATTTTATACCTGAATGTTCGCAGTTCTTCAATTAAAGGCAATTCGGAAATTCGCACGTGAATTTCAGTCGTGACACGTTCGTAACTTGGGAAGATTGTCAATACCAATTCTTTTGCAACTTCGTCAAAAATTTCAAGCATTTTGAATGGTGCTTCCGGTAAGAAGTAAGCTAAAATATGTTCCTTGCTGGCGAGAACTGTAAATTCGACAACAAAACTCGACTGAAAGGGAAATTTTTATTTTTGTAAATTAAAAAAGAAAATTATATTCTTGAATAATTTATTGATTAATTTAATATTACCTGATTGCTTTCGCACATGTGTCGAATTCGTTCTTTGTACATATGTTGTCCCTTGGAATTTGTATAAGTTCTGAGGAAATTTTTAAATCGATTTGCAATTTCGGTGCGTGGTCCCAACATTGAGACCCATTCCTTCACCGAATGGCCTTTTGTGTCTTCTAAATTCTCAATTGACTCGATCATCTGAAATGATTGATTGTTGAGTAAATCATTTTTTTCTAATGAAAGAATTTTTTTAATGAAAAGTGAATTAAAGAAAATTACCTCCTCCTCTTCAAGTTCTCCAGCGGCTGCTTTCTCGGCCATTCTTCTCTTGTGTGATGGCATCAACTCGTCATCACTATCCTCTGAAATTAATAAATATTTATTATTGGAAAATTGGAATTTTTGATTAGTTTTTGCGAATGCAAAATAAAATTAACCATAAAATAGATCTCTGTCATCTCTTATAATTCCAGCGGCACGATCTCGCTTTCTCATCTCGTCCTCAGCGAGCGCTCGATCTCCTTGCGAAATTTCTGAATAATCTTCGTCGTCCATGAGATTTCGATCGTAACGATCGAGAGCCGACATTGGTCGGTAATCGCTGTGAAAAAAATTGCAAAAGAAACAATATTAAAACTTACCATTTGAATTTTAATTGCAAAAGGAAAATTTATAAACATACGCTTCCATATTATCGCCAAACAATTCCTCTCCTTCCTCATCTTCTTCATTTGGAATGTCATTCTCGTCTCCGAGTAAATCGCTTTCATCAGCAAAAGGTTCGTCAATATCGGGAGCTGGTGATGTTAAAGCTTCACGATAACGATCAGAGCGAACTGGCGAACTTGGTTGACTCTACAAAATCAAAAAATAATAATAATATTTTAATAAAAAAATGTAAACAAACATTTTCGTGAGCAAAATAAACAAACGAAAGCATAACAATTAATTATAATTTAATTATTTAGTAAATTTATTTTATTATATTTACATTTTAAATAAGAATTAAAAGGATTTTTAAAACTATTCTAACATTCGCCAGAGCAAACAAAATGACAAAAAACTTACCATAATGAAAAAATTAGTCTCAGGAGAATATGTCGAAAAACTTGGTAGACTCCTAACCAAATTGTAATAAAGCACTTAAATTCTGTTGAATTTGTCAATTAATTTTCCTACAGTCGGCTTTGTTTTTCTTAAAATTAAATGCAATAATCACAGCACGTTTAACGAGACCCAAACAATCAGCAACAAGTGAAACCGGAAAACGAGAATGTTTTGGCGGGAGTTCTTGAAAATTTGCCTTAAACGAGACAATTTCTCTCGACCAATCAGAAAATAGTATAGTTTGGAAAAGCACCTTTATGTACTTTGCGCGGGCTATCTTTGAAATTCAAACTCTATTAAAAGTTAAAAATACTTTTATTTGGAATTATTATTTAATTATAATTATTATTCCTCGATAATAAGTAATAAAAAATTCCTAGTCTACTACAAATGAAAAGAGTTTATGCACTATTTTATTGTTTGGTTTTTATGGGTTTTTATTGACAGGGGTGGGAACGAAAATTCTAGATTGCAGCGCCTTTTGTTGGTAGCCATTTTAGGAAACAATTTTTTTTTCAAACAAATATCCTCCCCTAATCAGAATGTTTACATTGTACCGTATTTTCCCAAAAAGTAAACATATTTGTTATTGTTTACTTAAAACAGTAACAATAATTATCCAGTATTTCTTTATAAACATTTATTACTTTTATCGAGTTTCTTGTAAAATAAATAAAAATAGATCTTCGTTTTACTGAACAAATTCTAACTGCTTTTTGAACATTTAAAATTGAAAACGTTTTATAGTAAAACAAGTTAAAAAACAAGATATTAAAATTATATTTAAGAAGAAAAAGAAAATTATAAAATGCAGGAAACTTCAGAATATGCGAAAATATTGGTCGAACATCGTGTCAAAAAAGAAATGGTAGAATTTAATAAGGAAAAAATTGAAGAACTAGAAAAGACTTTGAAAACCGAAAAAGAACAATTAGTAAAATTTATTTATTTACCTTTCGGATTTTTTTCCATTGCTTCGTATTATTATAATTTTACTATTATATAATCGTTACCTGAGAATCTTTTTTCAAGGACAAATTAAGGGAGAAACAGTACAAACTTCAAGACAATTATTGCGAGACTGTTTGGAATTTTTCAAAAAAACATGATTTTGGTAATTTTTTTGTAAATTATCCAAGACAAAGGATCCCCCCGCCATGTAATTGTGAATTTCTCAAAGAGACTACTGAAAAAATTGAAAAAGGCATTAAGGCAATTTTATTAATTTCTAGATTTGCGTAAATAATTCACAACAATTATTTATTTATTTTTTGTCATTTTTCAGAGATTCAAGAAAACGAAGAACTTCAGAAACTGAATAACGAAATCAAAAGTTTAGAACTTGAATTAAAGAATTTCGAGGAAGAAGAAGAGGAAATTGAAAATACGAAAAAAAGGAATCTAAAATTCTCTTCCGATGACGATAATGAAATTGAAAGGTTTAAATTTTTGTTTCATCTTAATTGTGCATTCATTTTCTTTAAATAGTTTCAGATTCCTTTCATAATTTTAGTAATTTTTAGATTAACCGAAATTCTTGAAAAGTCACAAGAGGATTTAAAATTCCTAGAGAATGAAATTGTGAAACATCGACAAAATGAGCAAGTGGCAACAAAAGATGTTGAAACAAATTCGTTTGTAAAAATAATGTCGAAAACAATAGAAAGAGGTTACGAAAAACCTAAAAAATTGAAACTCGCCAAAGAAATTTCGCATAGAAAGCATATTCCACTGTTGAATTGTCCAAATACGATAGACAATTATATGATAGTAAAAGGGAAAAATAATCCTTCAACACAAGAGATAAATTATCAAACAAAAAATGAAGAAGCAGTGGAAAATTATCAATTATTAAAAAATCCTAATCAACAAGAATCTGTTATTTTGAGTTCATGGACTCGAAATACTGTTCCAAATGATTTTTCTTTTGTAGAAGCGGAAAGTTCGACGTCAGGAACATTTTCAAAGAAAATGGAAATAAAATCAATGGTAAGAGTAAAAAAAAATTTAATTATCCCTTTTTCGCTCTAAAATAATTAATAATCAACTAATTTTGAAATGAATTCCTTAACAAGGTTGCCACAAGAATATAATTTTCTTTTTCTCTGACTTTTTTCTGATTTCCAGACAAAATTTCGACTTTTTCTCAGATCCTAAAGAATATTTCCAAAGATTTGAATTTGAAACCTTTTCAAAATGCAATTAATTCTAAAAATTCATCCTCTGATGCTTCTAATATTCAATTATTATCTAAAAATTTAACTTAAATTAATTTTAAAATCAATTTTTATTTAAAAAATTCTATGAGAATTCCATTATGTAAATACAAAAATAATTAATTTATTAAAGAATTGAATTCTTTTGACAAATTATAATAAAATTTTTAAGAATAATTACATTTTTCGTGGAATTGAATTAAAATTGTATTGAAATAATTAAATTTCCTGTGAAATTTTTATTACTTATGAAATCAATAGAATTATTGTGGAGAATTTTATAAAAAAATGTTAAATAATTGATTTTTTTTTAAATTCCTGCAAATTCTATTTTAAATAATTGAAATCCTGTGAAATTTTTTTATCATTTGTAAATAATTGAAATCATTTGGAAAATTCCATTTTAATAGTAAATATTGAAAATTATTGAATTGAGAAAAATTTTTGAAAATAATTGATATTTTGAAAAGAATTTTATTAAAATTCCTGAAAATAATTGAATTCTTAACAAGAATTTTATTATTTATGAATATAATTGAATGTTGCAAAAAAATTTTATTAAAACTCTTGAAAATAATTGAAGTTTGTAGAAAAATTTTACTATTTGTAAAAATAATTAAAATCTTGACGAGGATTTTAAAGATTTTTTTTTGAAAATAATTGTATCTCTACGAAGAATTTTATTACTTTTGAAAATAATTGAATTCTTGTGATGACTAGAATTTAATTTTGCAAAGAATTTTATCAAAATTTCTGAAAATAATTGAATTCTTGACAAGAACTTTATAATTTATGAGAATAATTGAATTTTGCAAAGAATTCTATTAAAATTCTTGAAAATAATTTAATATCTATAAGGAATCTTATTATTATTTATCGAGATAATTAAATTCTTTTGAAAAAATTGGTTCATATTTTAGAAATAATATTAAATATTATATACAAAAAATTCGATTAATTTCAACAGAATGAAAATTAAAATTGTTCAAATAATTAATTTTACAAAATGGATAATACTTTATATTACTTTTGAAATTTTTAAGTAACATTTTATTCATTAAGTAATTTATATGTAAGTTATTATTTTATAACCTTGAAGAATTAAATTATTTTGAAAGAAATTATTGGCGGAAATAGAAAAAATTGAAGCTTTTTTTTATTAGAATTCGAAGTAATTTCAGAGTTTATAGTGCAAACAAAAAAGACAGAATTCATAAGAAAATTCTGAATTTTTGTGTCTTTTTTTGTTTAGTAAGGAAAAGTACAGGAAAAAATTTAGTTTTTAGAATTCATAAGAAAGTTCTGAATTTTCGGAAAAATTAAATTTTTTCCTTGATTTTTTCCTGATTTTCCTGACCTGTGTCAATCCTGTTCAAATTGAAATAAAACTAGAATATGAAAAGTAAAATATGATAATCAAAATATATTCCAGATATCGGAGGGAAAATCAAAAAGTTTTACTCCAAAAAGAAAAAGTTCGATTGCAGAGAAATTCTCCCAAAAATTGAATGAAAAACTAAATAAATCGACGGAATTGTAAATATTTTTCAAAGAAATAAATCGAAACAATGCGGTACAGTACATTTTGTATATTTAGAAATATTTATACGTTCATCTATATTAAGTATAATATACACTGAAATACATTAATATTACATATTGTTTTTTAAATTGTACACGTAATATTACGTTTTATTCAACAATTTCACGATACGAGAATAGTTGACTATTCAGCTTTATTAATTTCTTTTTTTTAAATTATTATCCACATAAAGTCCACTCTCAGAATGTGTAATTTATATAGGACGTCTATGGCATTTAAAAACTGTTTAACAGTTTGCTTTAACAAATTAATATTACACTTTTTCTTTAACTTTCAATCAACTTTTTTTTTCCTTTCCTTATCATGTATACGAATAAACAATACTTTTTATATCTAAAATTTATAAATTAAAATTAAAGAATTTTTTGAAAGAAATGTTTTCATTTTTAGAAAAAGTAATTATTTTCAAAATGTTCAATGACAGATTTTTTTTCTTTTGAAATTCCCAAATATTTTTGATAAAACAAGTAAATAAAAATCTGATAAATTTCTCCTTTCTGTTTATCTCACTCTTGCTCTCTTTGTTTGTTCTTTTTTTTAATCTTAATAATAATTTTTTTTCAGATATCTATCTAATGCTAATCTACAAGAACTTTTGTGGATGGTTGAAAGTATTTTTTGCCCTGAGGTATGATACGAAAGATTCTAAGCAAGGATGTTAAAAAAATATACACTGAATACTACAATTTTTTTTAAGTATTCCGAGTGTTAATTTGAAATTCGAAAAATTTTAAATAAAAATTTTTAATTGTTTTGATGAGGAATAGATTTTTTTTCTCATTTTTCAAAATCATTAATTCTAAATCTCTAAGTAGATAAAATACTTTATAAAATAATATTTTTTGTGTTCGCGTAAAATTCTGTTTCTTACGAGCTAGACAATTTTTATACGAAATACGTTTTAACCATTTCGAATAATTTTTTTTATTTATAAAATCAATGAGAGAATGTTTTCTCATTCTTCAACAAAATTAAAGATATTTTTTTCTTTACAAAAGTTCTTGCAGCGCCAATTTTTCTCTCGTTTCTAGTCGATAATCAGGATGTGAAAAACAAAAATTTACTCATTCATGAATTGTACTTATAACAGTTTACAATCAGAAATATTTAATCTCAACTTTGAAACAAAATATTCTTAGTGAATAAAAATACTTTACGACTTAAGTTTTGAATTAAAATTTTTAATTAATTTTGGATTAAAAATTAATTTACGATATTCAAATCGAAAAATTCCTATTTATAGTTTTCGATTTAATTTCACATCTTGGAAGGCAAAACTCTTATGTTTCTGTTTAAAAATCACAAGTGTCATTAATTCTCAGAGAAAAATGATTATTTGCGTATATTAAAATATTTCTTTTTCTGACTTTATTCAAGTTTCTATGTATTATTTTATCTTTTTTTTCATCTATTTGCCTGACATAGTGATTTTTATTTTGCTTTTCACACAAACTGACTGCAATATTTTGTCGCTTTGCTTCAACTTTAATTTATCCTTAACGTATAATATAAAATTTCGATCACATTCATTGAAATAACGGATTGGCTATTTTTTCAATTACAATCTATCTCGTATAACGATAGTATTACAAAACTATAAATATTTTTACATACATCTTGTAAATATAGAATTTTTGTTTCAAAAACCAGAAACACTTAACGTTCAAATTAATCATTTATTCCCAAAATCTTAAGTTTCTTATCAAGAAAATTTTTCCCATCATCTTGAATTTATTCATTTTATTGTCATGAAAATTAATGTTTGTTTCTTAAAATACAAACTTTATTTTTCAAAATAATTTTGAATTGAAAAAAAAAATTTTCTTTACGTGAACATTCAAAATTTCGAGAATTATGATTAATAATACAATTAAGTCAGGTTTTAGTAAAAATACTTTGAAGGAAATAATCCGGAATGCTCTTAAAAGTTCTAAATATTTACGAGCGTTGATTCAAAATTCAAAATTTAATGTCTCTCGTAATACTAATAATTAATAATTAATTAACATAATTAAGATAATTAATAATTAATTATCCTCGTATTTATTTAATTAAAAATTAACGATTTTTCGTATTTCTTTCGAAATCAATTAAAATAGATCGATTTATTATAATAAATTATGTAAATAAGTTAACGAAGGAAAATTAGTCGAATTAAAAATTTGTTCCCGTGATAATTTAGAACTTTTGGAACATTAATCAGAAGGTTGAACTCGAATAACATTTACATTCATTGGGGGGAAGAAAAATTGGTCTATCTCGTTGAATAAAAATTCGTTGAAATCGATTTTTATTTACATTTTTATACGAATTTTCTAATTACAAAATTTCGTATGTATCTATTTTATTTTAAGATTCAATATACTTTTAAATAAAAATATATTTATTCAGTAAAGTGTATTTTTTTCTTTTTAATATCAGTCAACAAGAGACTCCAATATTTTTCCCCCTTTTATGAACTTTGACGTAAATACAAACAGAGTTATTATTTTTTCTTAATAATTATTTTCAATAAACTCTTATATCTCAGAAAGAAATCTCAATTTTTACAGACAAAACTCGAATCAATAATTTATTTTTTTCTCCAAAATTACTTGAGAAAGAAAAGAATTTATTTTTTTTTTACAAAATTCTAAATGAATATTTGAAAAATAAATTTTTTTAAAATTAAAAATACTGAATTTTTTTTTTGTTAAATCAAAATGGCACGCGCAGAATTTTAAGTTTTTAAGGCTGAAATATTTCTTTTTTGAGCTTATTTTAAATCATAATATAAATAGTAAATTTGTATTAAGAGATCGTAGATAATGAAAATTAAAAAAAAAAAATTGATGAAGTAGATTTCTATCTATGCCTATAATTTAAGATGAAAAATCGACATTACAACATTGGCACTTATTCCGTATATGCGCTGAAGTTATATTAAATAATATTTTAATAAAACGTACAAAGTACTTTGCAACAATAATATTGCTAAAGTATTCACAACAAGTAAACGAACAACATCGAGTAAAACTCAATTGACATTTATTTATACTCTTATAAAAAAACAGTAATTTTCAAATTCATAATTTTTCACTCATTTTCAGCAAAACCAAAAAATCTCTTATTCGTTCTTAAAAGTTTCGAAAGTTCAAATCAACGATAAATATTCTTTACTTCTTAGAATCTGTATTTTTTTTACAAATTTACAAAAAAATTCTTAACTAAAGATTTAATTATTTTTCTTCTTTGTACAGTAATTTTTTGAAAACAATTTCCTTCAATTTGAACTTTCTAAACTTTTAGAAAAATTATTTGCAATGATTCGTATTTTTTACCGATAATATTCAAGTAATTTTATTTTTTTTTTGAATATTTTTTGTAAGAACAATTTTGCAATTATTTCGAAATAATTTTCACTTTCAACTGAAAGAATTAATTTTTCATTCATTCACTTTAGTCTCTCAATTCAAATCCTATAAAATTGAAAGCTTTTAAAGCTTTTTTATCTATAATGCTTCATTTATGAAAGTGATGAATTTAAGTTGAAAATACTGATGTTCGATATTATGACTTTTGATTAAAAGAAAAAATTCAATTTTTCTTCGATAAAATAAATAATAATATTTTGCACACTTTTTTCTTTAAAATTCGCGAAATTTGCAAGTTTTAAACTTATTTTTTACGTTAATGACAAAACTAATTTTTTTTGTTCTATTTTTATTTTTACTAACGTTTTAAAAACTAAAAAATGCACTAGCTAAAAGAATCAAATACTCGAAAAATCAGCATTTTGTAAATACCGATAATTTCACGCAGTTTAGCAAAGAAAATTTTCAAGAAGGAGTATTTAAAATTTTTCGTTTTAAAAACGTTGCGAATTTCATATTTTTTAAATTGAAACAAAAGTAAACAAAAGTGAACAAAAGTTCAACTACAAAAAAAATATTGATTAAAAATTTTAAATTCGTTACAACCAAGGAATTAAAATATTAAAGAATTAAATTTCAAAAGTCTGAAATTTATTCAAAACGGAATCGTTTTGAAAATAAAGTGAAATAAAAAATCTGTAGGTTATAATTCGATAGAAACAATTTTTGAAATATAATTAAAATACTTTCGTATCCAGGGGGCCGTTCAAAAAATACGTAACGCTTTAGGGGGGAGGGGGGGTCAAGCTATTTGTTACGGTCAGCAGAAAAAATGGCGCTAATGTATACAACATTGCGTTACATGGGGGGAGGCGGGGGGGTCCAAATTTCCGAAAAATAGCGTTACGTATTTTTTGAACGGCCCCCAGGGTGGTCACAATTTTCAGTTTATCAATTTCCCTGACAATTTACTGATATTAAAATTATTTTCCCTGACAAAATTCTTTTTACAGGAAAATATTAAATTTAAATTTAATTATTAAATTATTAAAATTTATTTATTTATGAATTTTAATAATTTCTAAAAATTAAAATTATAACCCTAAGTGAATTCAATTACTTTTATAAATAGTAAAATTCTTTGCAGAAATTCAATTAGTATCAATACATTTTAATCGAATTGAATTAATCAAATTTTCAATTATAATTATAAACATACCAAATTTTTTTAAAAAATTGAAAAAATTCTTTGTTTAATTCAATTATTTTTCAAATTTTTAATTAAAATTATTTAAAAAAACATTATTTTAAAAAAATTAAAAAGAAACTCATTAAAAGAATTTAATTATGCATAAAAACTGTAGTTAAAATTTTTGAAGCCATTCATTTTTTTCCTATCATTTCCCTGATTTTACTGACAAAAATTTTATTTTCCTGACTTTACTGACATGTGGCCACCCTGCGAATCTCTTTTAAATAAATCAGAAAATTGAAAAAAGAAAATTAAAATAGAAAAAAAAAAGAAAAAAAATTAGCTTACTTGATCAGGATCCTGTTACATGGATCGATAAGGACCTTGCATCTTCAAAAATTGAATGACAAGCGATGGTCCATTGGCGACAATGTCCGCTGGTATTTGCGAGAGTGGACAATTTTCAATTGACATAATACTGAGATTTGTACAAAGTGCCAGCTCAAATGGTAAATTATGTAAATTCGCATTATCATTGACATAAAGTGATTCAAGATTTTCAAGTGTTCCAATTTCCTCTGGTAAATAATTTAAATTATTCTCACCAACACTGAGATGCGTTAAATTTGTAAGATGGCCAATTGCCCTTGGCAACGATGTCACCTGATTTGATTGTAATATCAATTTTTGTAATTCCCTTAAAAAACCAATTTCATTTGGCAATGTCTCAATTTTATTCTCCTCAAGATCAAGGACACGTAATTTATTTAAATTCGCAATACTCGCCGGTATTCGTTTCAATAAATTATTTGATAATATGAGAATTTCCAAATTTTGTAAATGTTGAATGTCGTCGGGAATTTTTGTCAATTGATTTGTACCGAGATTTAATTCCACCATATTTACCCACGTTCCAATATCTAATGGCAATGCTGTCAATTGATTTTCCTTCATATTTAATTTTGTGAGATTTTTTGCACGCGAAAATATTCCATATGGTATCTTGTCAATTTGATTGTGCTCGAGATTTATTGAATAGACATTTGTAAATTGTGACGGCCCACCTGATGGATACGATGTAAAGGCATTTCGAGATAATGTAATTGTTTTTAAATCGGATAAACTTGAAAGTAAACCATCTGGAAGTTGTGAGACTTGATTTCCCTCGACACTGAATTCGTCCATTGATTTACAATTTGCCAACGATTTTGGAATCCTCGTGAGACGATTGTACCTTAGGAGGGAAAATAAATATTAAAAATATAATAGATTGACTTGAATATAATTATAAATAAAGTTGCCACAAAAATTTAATTTTGTTCTTTTCTGATTTTCAAGCAAAATTTTTACTTTTTTCCTGATTATTTTCTAATAATTTTGTGACCTTGAAGAACTAAATTATTTAAAATAAATTATTGGCAAAAGTTAAATAAATTGAAGGTTTTGTATTAGAATTCGTGGTAATTTTATAATTTATGAGGCAAACAAAAAAGACACAAAACTTCTGAATTTCCGAATGAATTCTAAAAACTAAATTTTTGTTCTGTACTTTTAATAAAATTCCCTTCCTTTTTCCTGAACTTCCTAACCTGTGGCAACCCTGAATAATAAATTAAAAAAATTTACCTTAATCCAATTCTCGTGACAGACGTGAGATTTCCAATCGTTTCTGGAATATCAAGAAGTTCATTGTGTTGTAAATCGATGGTTGATAATTGTACGCAATTGCCAATTTCTTTTGGTAAATGCTCAAGATGATTGTGCGACACATCGAAGGTTATTAAATTGACGAGTTTTCCAATGCCGGCAGGTAATTCCTTGATTTTATTTTCCCTCAAACTGAGCATTGTTAGATTTGTTAAATTTCGTATTCGATCACTAACATAACGAACGCGATTAAATCGCAAAAATAATGTCGTGAGTGATGTTAATTTATAAACAACATCGGGAATTTCACTTAGTTTATTATGCCTGAGATCGAGGACCTTGAGGGATTTTAAATTCTCGAGACTACTTGGAAGACTCGTGAGTGAGTTTTCGTTGAGTGCGAGTATCTTTAGATTACCGAGGCATCCAATTTCAGAAGGTAGTGTCACCAATTTATTTCCATAAAGATAAAACTCAACCAAATGCGTTAAATCGCGAACTGTAATCGGAAGCTGTGAAATGCTGGATTTACTTAGATCGAGCCTTGTCACACATTCGTCCCGACACCTCACGAATTCCTTGGATACATCCAAGTCCGCCTGCAAAAAAAAATAATATTTTTAATAATATTCTCAAAATCAGGAAAAATATTCTTTATCATGTTTTGTAATAATTTAAATTATCATCAAATTTTTCAAGAAGAATTCAATTATTTACAAAAATCCTAATAAAATTCTTTGCAAGAATTCTATTATTTTCACAAGTAGGAAAATTTCTCAAAAGAATTCAATTATTAAAAAAAAATTACTGAAAATTCATTACAAGAATTCAATTATTTTCATAAAAAATAAAAAATTGATTATTCGGAAATTCATGTTTAAATCAATTTCTATTAGAAAATTCTACGAAATTTCAATTATTTAAATAAAAAAATAAAATATTTATTGAATAATTGAATGTTTCTGAAAATTGAATTCTCAAAAAGAATGTTATCAACAAATTTTTAAATAATTAAATTCTTTTGGCGAATTTTAATAAAATCTTTAAGAATAATTAAAATTTTCGAGGAATTTGATTAAAATTGTATATCAAATATAATTAAAATCCTGCGATGAGTTTCATTATTTATGAAAATAATTCAGGAAATTTTTTTAAAATAATTAAAAAATTTCCCAAGAATTTTATTAAAATTTTTGAAAATAATTGAAATTCGGAGAAGAATTTTATTATTTATAAAAATAATTTAATTTTGGAGAAAAAGATTTTTATTTACAAAAATAATTGAAATTTTGAAAAGAATTTTATTAAAAGTTTTGAAAATAATTTAATTTCTGCGAAGAATTTTATTACTTTTGAAAATAATTGAATTCTTGCAACGAGTTTTATTTAAGTTTATAAAAATAACTGAATTCTGTGAAGAATTTTATTATTTATAAAAATAATTGAATTTTTGTGATAAATTTTGTTATTTATAAAAATAATTAAATTTCTGTGAAGAATTTTGTTATTTATAAAAATAATTGAATTCTTGAAAAGAATTTTGTTAAATTTTTTTTAAATAATTGAATTCTTGCGACGAATTTTTATCAAAAACCTTTTAAAATAATTGATTTCTTTCCAAAAATTTTATGAAATTTTGTATTTTAATAATTGAAATCCTGTGAAAATTTTATTGTTTATGAAAATAATTGAATTATTTAGCAGAAATTTATTAGAATTTTTGTAAATAATTGAATCTTTGTGAAATTTTGAAAGGAATTTTATTAAAATTTTTGAAAACAATTGAATTTTGATGAAGAATTATATTATTTATAATAATAATAATAGAAATTTTGACTAGATTTTTATTAAAATTTCTGAAAATAATTGAAATTCGGAGAAGAATTTTATTATTTTTAAAAATATTTGAATTTCGGAGAAGAAGATTTTCATTTTATAAATAATTGAATTTCTGTGAAATTTTACTAAGAATTTCATAAAAAATTTTGAAAATAATTTGAATTTCAGAGAAAAATTTAATTATTTATAAAGATAATTGAAATTTTGACGAGATTTTTTTTTTTAATTTTTGAACATAATTGAATTTCTGTAACGAATTTTTATAACTTTTCAAAATAATTGAATTTCTGCAATAATTTGTAACGTTTCCAAAATTCAATTCTTTATAGTATTTTTAACGAAAATTCTTCTATAAATCTATTATTTATGAAAACTGTAAACGCAACTCTTTCAAAAGTCAATTAATTTTGAAATATTTAGGTAAAATTATTCATTAAATAATTTCTAAGAAATAATTTTGACAGTTCTTCAAAAATTAAGTTATTTAAAAAGAAATTATTGTCACAAAAAGAAAACATTGAAGGTTTTGTATTAGAAAATTCTTGGTAATTCCATAATTTATGAGGCAAACAAAAAAGACTCCAAAATTCAGAATTTTCTTATAGGTTCTAAACATTTAATTTTTTTCCAGTACTTTTAATGAAAATCCCTGACTTTTTCCTGAATTCCCTGACTTCCCTGACCTGTGGCAACCTTGTTTATAAATAAATAAAATGAAGCATTACCTGGATGGGCTTGCTTTTTTTGGCAGTTGGTTTGGGTTTATTGGATTCGGGATGTTTGACGGTGACGGTTTTCTTCGTGTCGGAGGTGGACAATGATGCAGAGGAGAGTTTCTTCTCCTTGGGCTGTTGTTCGCGGAATACATCGACTGCCTCGGGCATGTCGCCGGCCGAACAAGTGCTGAGCCCGCAGCCCTCCAAATACTCGGGGATATCTTGTTCCTTCATGTAAAAATTTGTCAGACTCTCACGAGGGTCCCCTTTATCCCTCTTGACGTCTGTAAAGCACACTTGCGAAATATTACCCACACCCGTTCGATGTTTACTCAACTTTTTCATAATCTACATAAAACACAAATTAATGCACTACAAACAGTCGCTTTTCCTTTATTCTCTACGACATGACGTATATTTTTAAACAATTCAGCCCTCGTAGAGAGTAGAGACGTTCTCAACTTATAATAGAAAAAATTCCAAATTACTTGAAATTTTAATGAAATTTAACGAAAATTGTAACTTGAGAAAGTTACCGAGAAACAGTCATAGAGAGATTTTCCTTCTTTAAATATTTATTCATATTTATTCCTTTCATTTTCTACGAATCGTTTTTTTTTTAATTACTAATACAAAACACTAGTTTTATAATAACTTTTCAACAAAGGGAGATCGTAAAAAATGACAGATCTGTTCAGCGGTCCAGCTGTCAGATTCAAATTTGAGGTTATGTTCTATCGATGTTTGAAAACTTTTAATTTTTACTTCTTTTTTTACAAACAGAATTAATTTATTTCATTTATTTCTATATGGAAAATTGTTCTATCTATAAAGTTATCTAGTTTTTGCAAATAAAGATCTCTGTTTGAAATATTTTAATTGATCTTCAATGTGAAATCAAATTTCCCGGGTGGAAACAAGAAACTTTCTTCCGGAAATTTCCTTATTTTTCAAGCCTCTTTTTGTCCTTGGCGTGTCGCCATCATTTTTATCCTTTGGCATTGCTTTTTTTTATCGGAAAAAGAAGGATGGCTGAATATTTGGCATCGATTTTCGGTACAGAAAAGGATAAGTAAGTTATTTTTATTGTTAACTAAGTGAATTATTTCAATTGTTTAATATTTGTTTAATGTTAAATTTCTATTTTCTTTCAGAGTAAATTGTTCCTTTTACTTTAAAATTGGAGCTTGCCGTCATGGCGATCGATGCTCACGAATCCACAACAAACCAACTTTCAGTCAGGTAAATCAAAATTTTTTAAAATAACAATATAAATTTTAAATTCTAAAAAATAATTATAAGTAAATTCGTTTTATACTTTTGTAATTGTTAATTTGAAAAGGAAAGTTTTTCAAGTTTTCGAAAGTTTGTGACTCTAGGGGAACATAACCTTAAAAATTTGATTGTAACAACCGTAACAACTGTCGCAAAAATAATTACTTTAGTGAAATTCTATTGTTAATTAATTAAAACGAAATTTTTAGACATGTCTGCTGCAAAACTTGTACGTGAACCCTCAAAATTCGGCGAAAAGTGCAGATGGTTCTCATTGTAAGTAGATTAGAAATAAATTTTCAAATAGTACATTTCTATAGTAGGCTTCGCACTCATTTACGAAAATCTACTATTTACTACTACAATTTGGATACTTTTTTTTAAATTTTTGCCATTAAAAGCTACTTTTTCCTATTTTTTGATAATTGTCACGAGTTTAAATTCGCTAATAGTTGGAATACAGAAATTATTCTTGAAAATTTTTAGTAAAATTCTTAGAAACAATTTAGAAATTATTAAATTAATTACAGTGGTTTCCAATGTTTCTGACGAAGAAATGCAGGAACATTATGACAACTTTTTTGAGGACGTATTCCTCGAGTGCGAGGAAAAATACGGTGAAATTGAGGAGATGAATGTTTGCGATAATCTCGGCGATCATCTCGTTGGTAATGTTTATATCAAATTTCGAAGAGAAGAGGACGCCGAGAAGGCAGTTAATGATTTAAATAATCGTTGGTTTGGTGGCCGACCTGTTTATGCAGAACTTTCGCCAGTTACCGATTTTCGAGAAGCTTGTTGCCGCCAATACGAAATGGGGTAAATATACTCATACTAATTCTATAAAATAAATTTTATTCCTATAAGAAGAATTTTTATAAAATCAAATTTTTAAAACTTGATCTTCAAAATGAAATCAATAGTGAATTCAAATTAATTCAATTAATAATTACTTACAGTGAATGCACGAGATCGGGATTTTGCAATTTCATGCACATTAAACCAATTTCAAGGGAATTGAGACGCTATATTTACAGTCGTAAGAAGAGTAGCGGTAGCAGTAAAAGATCACGATCAAGATCAAAATCACGAGGACGCAGCGATCGTAGACGTAGATCTCGTTCTCGAGGAAAGTCCAGGTCCCGAGAAAGACGCCGATCCGGTAGATATTGAAACGATAAGAAAAATTTTCCTCTTTTTTTTTTTTAAACACGTATTTGGTGAAAACTGACTATTATGTACTTGACGCAACATATTTAAATGAAAATTGCATAATATTGCAATGATTTTTTTTCTTCATTTATACTGTAAGGGGAATATACTCATATATATTTCCGTAAAATTAGAATCAATTCACTGTTTTGTAGAAATGCTTTAAGAAATAAATTAATCACTTTCTTGTAATTCACATGATGTTATCCTTTCACTTTTTGTGAATGAAAACCAAATTTTGCCTAAATGAAGGTAAACGAAAGAAAACAATTGAATATGAAAAATATAGATTTTTTAATGAAATTATCAGGTATTATTTCAATTTGACTGTCTAAAAAACTTTAAACATAATTTTCACTCTTAATGTGACTTAGAATAATAATACTTTACCGTAATTATTTCAAACTAGGAAACAATCAGTTTTCAGTGCTTGAATTTTGAAAAATAAATGTTATACACTCAGAGACTCGTTCCATTAATAATTCCTACAAAAAAATAACAATTATTACTTTCAAATATCGAAAATTTTGTCTTCGTACTCAATAATTCATTTTAAAAAAGTATCTTTAAATTTAAAATTTAAATTTAAATCTTCGTGAGCTCGTGAAATTTGTATAAGTAAATTAAATACTATTTAAATAACAAAAAGTATATTTACCTTCAACAGTTCTTCAGAAACCGGATAATTATAATGTTTCCATCGAAGAAGTTGATTAATTGTTATCGGTTGTTCGGAATTTGTTTGTAGGTCTAATTGACAAATACGAGAATCGTCAAGGTTCACATCATTTTCTTTGTCTTCATTTTCAATATCTTCTTTATCACACGAACAATCCATTAAATCGTGAGTCAAGGAACAAGTGTCCGTTGTTAATGTAAACAAATCCTGTAAATACCAAGAAAAAATGTTTCATTTTTTTACATGCTTTTTTTAAAAAATTTTAAAACATTTGTTGTGTTGTAAACAAAGTAGAAAAGTATATTTTAAAATGTTTTTAAAAAATACCTTTAATTCACTGGTTGACAATTTTAAGGATGCAAGGTGATTTGCATCGACGACAGCTTCACTGAGACTAGTTTTACTAATTTGTCTTTGATAAATCTTCTCCTCTATTGTGCCAGTTGTCAAAAGTCTATAAAGTGAAAAAATTTTGTTTAACAATCAAGATTTTATAGAAAAATTCTTCAGTGGAAAATACTCTTTTACCTGTAAATATAAACAGATTTCTTTTGTCCATCTCGCCAGATTCTCGCCATTGCCTGTGCGTCTGAAGCTGGATTCCAATCGGAATCGAATAAAACTAATCTAGACGCTCCTACGAGATTTAAACCAACTCCACCGGCTTTTGCACTCAATAGAAATACACCTGAAAAAAATAAAAATTAAGAATTATCAAAACTGAAGAAAAGAAATAATTAAAATTTATTACATACGTGTTGTGTTTCCTTTCGAATTAAATTTATCGACTATTTTCGTCCTTCCGGTTGTTGCCGTACTACCGTCCAAACGACACGAGGACATCCCTTCAGAATTACAAAGTTTCTCCAATAAATCGAGTGTTTTTGTAAAATACGAGACGAGTACCACATTTTCAGATGTTCCTTTCAATTCTCTAAGCAAAGCCCGAACGACATTCATTTTCACTGAATAATTAAAAGATTCGTAGCTTTTTTCCATACAAAAATCGGTCGTTTTCAATTCCTCGATTAAATTACTTTTTTCGATTAAAAATAAATTTGGATGATTGCATATTTTTTTCAATGCCGTTATTATCGCCAGTGGCATGACATTTGTCTTTAGTAATTCCCTCTCGATTAGAAGATCCGTTACTTTTGTGTAAATTTCATTTTGTTCGGGTGTTAATCGACAGAATATAACCAACTCGTGTTTTGATGGTAAATATTTATTTATCAAATCATTCGTTCTTCGTAGAATGAATACTTTCGTTTTCTCATGAAGTTCTTCGGCTCTCTCCTGACCTAGGGAAATTACCTCCTCCGATGCGTCTGGTTTTTGTGATGCCACTATTGGATTTTCATAATGCTTCCTAAAGAAATTACTTGTCTCGAGAATATCCGGATTCACAAAATCGACGAGTGTATAAAGTTCCTGTAAATCGTTCTGAACGGGTGTACCTGTCAGGAGAATTCTCCTACGACAGGTTAATTGATTCAGCATCTGAAAAACAAATAAAATTCTTAAAATTTGTCTTAATTATTATTATTGGGTTTTTTGTATTGAAAAAATATTCCAGGAAAACCAGGAAATTTCAAATAAGTAAAAGCGTGACAACTTTGAATACGCTCGTATATCATACCTTTAGAGATTTTAATTCACTGTTCTTAAGACGATGTCCCTCGTCGCATATCAATAAATCGAAACCAATTTCATTGACTTCTTCGAAATTTCTGACAAACATCTCATAGCTGATTATCATAACCGAGGCTCTTGGTGATTTTAGAAAATCTTTCGGTTTCTTTTTCCCCTCAATGACAAAAGGGGAAATTCTATGTATACCCAGCCAGCGGATAAATTCATTGTTCCAATTTCCGCACAAACTACTTGGCGCAACAACAAGTACTCGTTTTAATATTGCCTTCCCATAGGGACCTTGTTTCAATAAAGTCCATGTCAAAGCGACGCATTGTAAAGTTTTTCCCAGGCCCATTTCGTCGGCTAAAATTGCACCGAAATAATTTGGATCATTCATGCCCATTATACATTTGTACAAAAAGACAAGACCATAACGTTGATGGGGTCTTAAGACAGTTGCTAAACAAGCGTCGAGCGATACATCACGAATTTGACAATTTTCTTCCGTCCAATTTATTTCCTCATTCGGCCTCGGCATTATTAGGGGTTCGTAATTTTGTAACAGTCCACCGAGACCTTTACCTAAACAAAAAAATTATACTTTTTAAAATAAAGCCACAAAAATTTATTTTATCCCATGACTTTTTCCTGATTTTTCTGACCAATTCTACTTTCCCTAACTTTTCCCTAACCTGCACCAAACCCTGTTTATTTAAATAAAGCGTAAACTTCCAACCTGTTTTACTCAGTGGAATGAATTTATTATGAGTTTTCAATTTCTTCAACGGTGGTTCTGAAATTACATCCTTCTTCTCCGATTTTTGTGGAATATTCGAACTAACTCTATCAATTATCTGTAAAAAAGAAAGTAACATAGAATTTTACTTTACATTTACAAATTTAAAAATAAATAAAAAGAAATTACTTGTATTTCTTTTCCCCCCATTGATAGAATCGATCCTTCGGTGGCAGTTTCTGCAGTTACGGCCAATTTTCCCAAAAATTTTCCATCAGGATCCTATAATTAAAAAAAATACTTTTGTAGTTTTGACGTCTAATATTTCCATTTTTCCCAAGGGAGAAAATTGCAAATACCTTCAAAACGGCTTTAGTTCCACTAACTATTAAAATTCCATCCTCATCCCATGTTTTATGCTTTTTGTTAGACTTTTTCCCGATGAGAACGTTATAAGTAATTCTGAAATTAAAAAATGTTTGTTTAACCGGAAATGAGGTTAGGTTCGTAAAAGGTAAACAATGATTTCGTTATGATAGTGAATAGTGTAATATTTTAAATTTTCAAATCAAGATGTATTAAGAAAAAAAAAACTTACGAATCATTGATTTTATCATCGTTTGATACGTTTGTCAGATTCTTTTGTGAGGACGATGCACTTTGAGAACCTTCCGAAGACTCTTGTGAATCTAACGATTTTTCTTCCTCCACCTCAGGTTTATTTGCTTTTTTATTAAACAACTGAAGAATGTGAGCTGTACTTCTTCCCTGGGCTCGATAATTACGATTCATATTGATATTTACACTTTTTAGTAGCAAGAAACTTCTTATTACAAACACGTGTGAAAATTTAAATAGAAGTTGTTTACGTTTTCCACTACTATATATATAACCACGTGATCGTTAATGGTTCTAGTGGAAGAACCAATCAAATCGGAGTATTCTATTTATTACTTGTCCGGACTTTTCTGCCGGCAAAATCTAAAAGTTCCGTAAACAATGGAGAGAATATTATTTTTACTAATTCGGTAAGTCACTTGTTTACTAATTTACTTCGTTTTAAATACGAAACTCTATAAATATTTTTGTTTAAATATGATAATTAATAATAAAGAATATAAAAAAAATAATGGTGCGAAATGCGAATTGTACTTTTCAATCATTGAGTTTCATGTCTTCTCTACATTTTATTGTTCATGGCAGTTTGACAGCAGCTGGGAGTCTCGAAAAAAGTGTTTGACAAGTGAATTTAATGTCGGTATTTATAAAACATCCTTCTTATTATGTTATAAAGGTAAAAAATTGAATTTTACCAAGCTTAAAACAGTGCGAGGAATTATTGTCCTTCAAGCAGGTATTATTATCTTTTAATTCGTAATTTTCCAAAAAAAATTTACATTTGTGACACTCCTTCATTGTTATAGTTTTCGTAGTTTAATTTATTCTTTATTATTTTGGTAAAAAAGTTATATTCCACTGCGGTTGGAAATAAAGGAAACATTTAAATTTAACGTGCGTCATTCTTGTGATTTTAAATGAAAATTGTTGCGGAACAATCAATTATTTCTATGCCGCAAGATAACAATGATTTACTTGACACTTTCATAATCCGTTTATGACCGAAAATTTTTTTACAGATAATAGATTTCCATTTATGTGCTTTTGTTTGGAAGAAACTTGTCATTTCTTATTATAGAATTACTTCTTTCTTTTTGTCTTTTTGCGAGAGAAAAAAAAATGAATTTTTCTTTTACGGAAATTTTTTTTATTTCTCTAATATGTTATCAAGTTTAGGATTAAATTTCACACTTTGTGATAAATTTTAATTATCTTGAAATTATAAACAGTGGGTGTGTCAGTACTTTTTAATTTTTTTTAGATTTTAACCGGAGAATGATTCATACTTTATGATTCATTATTTCTGCATTTTTTTTTCTGGTAGTGAAAACATTTTTAAAGCTAAATATTTCTTGTACTGCTTCTTTTGTATTTTAAGAATTGTTTTTTAACTAGTTTTTTAAAATAAAGTTAGGATTTTCAAATTGTAAGAAAAATAATTGAAAAAAGAAAGTATTGAATTCAATGTTCTTATAAGCAGATTTTTGAATATTAAGTATTTTGTAAGATGTGTTGCATAAAAATTTTATGCTGCTACTGAAAAATTCCATTCGATTACGAGAGTCGAAGTTATCGAGAAAAGTAAATATTATGTGAGAATTGTGTGGCAAGAATCAGACAAACAATTTAAATAAAATTTCTTCTATCTTAAAACTTTTAGATCTTAATTAGTGGAATTTAGAAAACAATTTATAGAAATTTAGCAATTTATAATTTATAAATTTATAAATAAAATTAAATATTTTAGATTATAATTATCGAGGTATTCGCAAATTTTAACGCGATGGCCAACATTGGAAATTTGGATCAACAAATTGCGAATTTACAAATTAATCACAATGACGGTGAAGCCGTGAAAGCTGGCAAAAAAGTTGGACCTGCCGTTCCTCCAAAACCAAAAAAGTCACAACCACAGGTTGGTATTTGTTTTTCTCTTTATTTACATCTCAGTATTATTAATGCATTTTTTATGCACATTCACTCTTTGTCTCTACAATGGGAAATCATCTGGTAATTGTTTGCATAAATTTCCTATTTCTTTTTAATTTACAATTTTTATTTTTACTTTATCTTTCTATTTATATTTATATCATTTTAAATTATATTCATCAGGATTGCCACAAGTCAGGGAATTCAGGGAAAAGTCAGAGATTTTTAAAAAAAGTACTGGAAGAAATTGAATATTTAAAATTCTTAAAAATAGAAGAATTTTAGTTACAAAATATTTTTAAAAAACATGAATTTTGGATAAGTTTCAAATAATAAAAAAAAAACAATTATTTTAAAAAGTTATAAAAATTATACGCAGGTATGTTTACATTTTTTTTTTAATTCTCGTCAAAATTTCAATTACCTTTACAAATAATAATCAATTATTTTCATAAATAATAAAATTCTTCTCAAAAATTCATTTATTTTTATAAACTTGAATAAAATTCGTTCCGAGAATTCCATTATTTTCTTAAATAATAAAATTTTTACAGGAATTCAATTATTTAAAATACAAAATTTCATAAAAATTTTCCAAAAAAAAATCAATTATTTTAAAAGATTTTTATAAATTTCGTCGCAAGAATTCAATTATTTAAAAAAAATTTAACAAAGTTCTTTTCAAGAATTCAATTATTTTTATAAATAATAAAATTGTTCACAGAAATTCAATTATTTTTATAAACTTGAATAAAATTCGTTGCAAGATTCAATTATTTTCAAAAGTAATAAAATTCTTGGCAGAAATTCAATTACGTTCAAAAATTTAAAAAAAATCCTTGTCAAAATTTCAAGTATATTTATAAATAATAAAATTCTTCTCCAAAATTCAATTATTTTCAAAAATTTTTAGAAAATTCTTGGCAAAATTTCACAGGAATTCAATTATTTACAAAATTTTCGGGAATTTTAATAAAATTGTTTGCAAAATTCAATTATTTTCATAAATAACAATATTAATCACGAGAATAAAATTATTTTCAAGAGTAATAAAATTCTTTTCGAAAATTCAATTATTTTAAAAAATTAAAAAAATGTAATTATTCTTAAAAATTTTATTAAAATTCGTCAAAAGAATTCAATTTTAACAAACATCAATTATTCAATAAATTATTTATTTTTGAATTTAAATAATTGAATTTGCGTAGAATTTTCTAATAAAAATTGATGTAAAATGAATTTCCGAATAATCTATTTATTATTTATGAAAATAATTTAATTCTTGCAACGAATTTTATTACATTTTTTTTTAAACAATTGAATTCTTTTGAGAAATTTTACTACTTGTAAAAATAATTGAATTTTTGCGAAGGATTTTATTAGGATTTTTGTAAATAATTTAATTTTTTTTGAAAAATTTTATGGCAATATAAATAATTATAAAACAGGAAGAAATCGATATCTTAATGTTTTTTATAATAAAAACATTTCTATAAGTTGTTGAATTTCAAAAGGTTTGAATCTGAATGTTTTAAAGAATTTTAATTCTTGCAAAAAAATAATACTGATTAAATATTTATTCAAAAGAGAAGTTATTGATGCTTTTGAATAATTTTACACTTAAAGAAATTTGTAAATAAATGTAATAGAAAATTTTTTTGAGTATCTAATAATTTTTAGAGTAAATCAGAATATTCTTAAGGTTCAGGAAGGAAGACAAAATTTTGTCTTGAAATCAGGGAAAAGTTAGGCAAAAACAAAATTAATTATTTGTGGCAACCCTGTTCATATCCTTTTAATTTATATTCATTTTCTTCTTTTTTATTTATACTTTTTTTCCTCGTGATTTAATTAAAATTTGAAAAATTAAAGGTACCGCAAAGTTACACAATAAAGGCAGCCTCAATTCCGTCGTACAGTACGGTATTAAATAATGCTCTATCAAATGAAAAGCCGTCCAATATTTACATGAATTCACCAACGCCATATGCTCCGTTAAATTTGGAAAAAAATGACTTCACATCGTCGACAGCGACAAATGGAAATAAACCGACCAAGTTCTATCAGAACAATGAGAATTTTTACACGAATCAAACAGAGGAGAAATTCGATTCAAAATATAATTACGATGATAAACATTTTTATTCAAATGTTGACAATATGTCCGAACAACAACAACAACAACAACAACAACAACAAGTTCCAATTGACAATAATAGATCCGGAGGTGCGGTGAAAAATGCCGTCTACAGTAATGTTGAATCATCAATGCCAATTTCAATTCCTCACTCGAGTAAAAAGGAAAAGGATTTAGTTTACAGTAACATTCAATGGAATCCAAAATCTGAAAATACTTACTGTAACGTTCCAGCTGGTCATAATGCTGGTAAATATTTGCTGAAATTAAATTTTTTCTAATCGAAAATAAAAGTAATGAAAAAGAAACAAAAGAACTATTGTTCTTTTGTTTCTTTTCCATTACTTTTATTTTTGCAATTGCATTCATCTATTTATTTTAAAATTATTTAAAGAAAAAGAAAAAAAAAGAGACTTAACTATCTATTTATCTTCTTTGGAAGAATTTTTTTCGAAGATTTTCAAATGTCTATTTTTGTTCTAGACGATCTGCCGCCTCCGCCAGAGCCCACGGAGTACGTTCATTGTTTGCCGGGAAGTTCATTTCCACCACCACCGGAAGAACTTCCACCGCCGCCGAGTCCCGTTTCCTCAAGTTACAGTGAATTGAGACGCGCTACTTATCAAAACGATTATTCCTCTGGCAACTATCCGAACGATATTTACGGACCAAGTTCACAATCAAGTTCGACGTACGAATCGATTTATGAGCCTATTAATCCGCGGCCACCGTCACAACTCTCGTGCAATTATTCCATGTACTCTGGCTACGGTTCGGCAACAATGACACAGCCTCAGGATAAAGTTTCACCCGTAAAAGAGGTACGAAGAATTTATCTTGAATTTTTGTCTCCTAATGAAAATCGAGTAATATTGATATTAAATATTAATATTTAATTAATTAATATTAAATATTAACCATAATAATCTGATAATTTTATTATTTACAAAAAATAGTTTTTTTTTTAAATAATTGAATTATTTTGGAAAATTTTATTAAAAATTATTGAATTGAGCAAAATTTTTGGAAAATAATTGAAAATTGAATTGAAATTGTTTTTAGTATTAAATCGAATTCCCTTTTTTTTAAGGTCGACGTGCTGACGGATCTTTTGGTCCAGGGAATGGAGGACAATCAGGAGGACAGTGATATTTATGGAATTTGCGCGCAGTGCGGTCGCAAAGTAGAGGGCGAGGGAACTGGTTGTTCGGCGATGGATAAAGTTTTTCACATCAGTTGCTTTTGTTGCTTCGTTTGTAATATTAATTTACAAGGAAAGCCATTTTATTCACTCGAGGGAAAGCCATATTGCGAGGAGGATTATTTGAATACATTGGAAAAATGTTGTGTCTGCACCAGACCGGTTTTGGATAGAATTCTACGAGCTACTGGAAAACCCTATCATCCATCATGTTTCACTTGCGTCGTCTGCGGACAAAGTCTCGATGGAATTCCATTTACAGTCGACGCCACCAATCAAATACACTGCATTCAGTGTTTCCACAAGTAAGCACAATTACAGTACTCGATAATTAATTTTAACAAAGTAACTTAAAAACAGAAAAAAGTAGCTATCGAAATATTAAACTTGACGACTCAATTTTTTTTATAATTTCTTAATTACATTCAAAAATAGGATAATTTTTTAAAACGAATATTTAAATACCTATTTATTTTGTCTACAGGAATTTAAATATTTCAAATGAATTCAATTATTTAAATACAAAAATAAATAATTTATTGAATAATTGAATGTTTCTTAAATTTCAATTCTTATAAAACACTTTATCAACGTTTTTTTAAAATAATTGAATTTTTACAAGGAATTGCATTAAAATTTTTAATACTAATTAAATTCATTCAAGAAATGTAATTAAAAATGAATTGAAAATAATTATAATAACAGTTTTTATCGGAATCAATCAATTTTTATTAGAAAATTCTACGAAAATTTAATTGTTTAAATTAAAAAATAAATAATTTATTTAATAATTGATGTTTGTTACAATTGAATTCTTTTGACGAATTTTAATAAAAATTTTAACACTAAACTAAACTGAACTGAATTTCTGTGAAGAATTTTATTATTTATAAAAATAATTTAATTATTTCCAAGATATTTATAAAAAAAATTTGTAAATAATTGAAATCCCGGGAAATTTTTTATTATTTATGAAAATAATTAAATGTTTACGTAGAATTTTATTAAAATGTTTTTAAATAATTGAATTTCAGCCAAGAATTTTGCTGTTTAAAAACATATCTTAGTTTTCGAAAATAATTGAATTCTTTCAAAGAATTTTATTAAAATTTTTAAGAATAGTTGCATTTTTCGCGAAATTGATTGAAAATTGTATTAAAAATAATTGAAATCCTGCAACGATTATTATTGAAATTTTATTTATTTATATATTTATAATTAATTATAATTTTATATATTTATTTATTTTTATAAAAATCTATTTAAATAATTGATTTTTTCGAAAAATATTAGGGAAATTCTCTTTTAAATAATTGAATTCAGGTGAAATTTTAATTATTTTTGAGAATAATTAAATGTTTGCGTACAATTTTATTAAGATTTTCTTTATATAAAAATATTTTATTATTTATAAAGATAATTGAAAATTCGACGAGAATTTTTTTAATGCTTGACTAGGGGAGAGGGCCCTAAGGTGGTCACCCATCTTTTGAACGACTGTAGATTTCAAATGGAATTATATATAAAGGTCAATAATACGGCGTTTGAAACTTTATCTTATTACCTAACTTCCTATCATAAAGTTTTTTTCATTTCATTAATAAAAAAAAAATTATGGCACTTTTTAAAAAAAGTTGAAAATTCGACTTTTAAAAAAGTGGCCCCAAGGTGGTCACCATACAAAAATTCACTAAAAAAGTTTTAAAAAAATGTAAAAAACGTATTATTAAGTTGTTTATATTTAATATTAATTGTTTTTCAGGATCACAGAAACATATTACATATTTTTTTTTTGCACTTTGTCCTTTCGTCAAAAATGATACTTTTTGTGTATGTATTAGACAGGTAAAATTTTGAAAATAATTCTATTTCATTATTATTCATCATAAAACTTAAAAATTGATAAAATTCACATTCACAGTGATAAATGTTGATAAATATGGCGTATAAACACATTTTCATAAAAAATCAAAAGCGACCACCTTGGGGCCAAAAATGTGTCCACCTTAGGGCCAAGACACAATTTTTTAAACGTTAATGAAAAAATTTTTTAAAGCACAATATTAATTATATTCATTTGGAATATTATTGTACGATATATAAAGATAATTATAACGATTTTTACTAATTTAAAATGGTTAATTTCGATGATTTTAACACCCTGAGAAAAAAATTTCTCGATCATTTAAAAACAGAAATTTTACGACGTTCACGTTACAACGAGACTCATACGACTATTTACCTCAAAACTTTACTAAAATCTTTGTCTTCTCAAATAATAACAATAATAAAAAAAATTCAAAAATACTAACTAATATACACAAATTTTCTTAGGGTGACCACCTTAGGGCCCTGACCACCTTGGGGCCCTCTCCCCTATAATTGAATTTTATTATACTTTTAAAAATAATTGAATTCTTGAGACGAATTTTATTACTTGTAACAATAATTGAGTCGCTTTAAAGAAGTTTATTAAAATTTTTGGAAATAATTGAATTTTGGAGAAAAATTGTATTATTTATAAAGGTAATGGAAAATTTAACGAGAATTTTTTTATTTGTGAAAATAATTGAACTCTGGCAAAGAATTTTATTAATATTTTTAAAAAATAATTAAATTCTTGGGAAGTTTATTAATTTTTTTTAAATAATTGAATTCTTGCTGAGAATTTTATAATTATTTTCTGAAATTAATAATTGAATTCCTACGAATAATTGTATTATCGTTGAAGATAATTGAATTTTTCCGAAGAATTTCATTAAAATTTTTGAAAATAATTAAATTCTTTTTCAAGAAATATGTATAAATAAAAATGACATTTGAAAATAATGATATTCTAATAAACAAATTATATGAATTTTGCAAAATTCATTTAAAATTGTATTAGAAATAATTGTAATCCTGCGATGAATTTGAATATTTATAAAAATAATTGAATTCTTGCGACGATTATTATTATTATTATTATTATTATTATTATTATTAAAGTTTTAAAAAATAATTGAATTCCTGAGAAGAATTTTATTATTTATAAAAATAATTGTATTCTTGGGAAGAATTTTATAAAAATCTATTTAAATAATTAATTCTTTTCGAAAAATATTAGAAAAATTCTGTTTTAAATAATTGAATTCACGTGTAAATTATTTTATTTATGAAAATAATTGAATGTTTGCAAAGAATTTTATAAACATTTTGTTTTATATCATTCAATTCTTTTGGGAAATTTTTTATTAAATTAATAGTATTAAAATTTTTGTAAATAATTTTTTTATTTCAACTGTTAACAAATTGAAAGTAGTGTAAATTCTCAAACATCCGGAAAAAAGTAGCTTTTAGTGTAAAAAATAAAAAAAAGTATCCAACTAGTAGCAAATCGTAAGAAAAAGTAGGTTTTAGTAGATGAGTCCGAGGCCTGCAATTATATAATAATAATAATCGAGATATACCGTAAAAAATAAAATATGAATTAATTAAAAGAAGAAGGAATTTGAATGAATATTAACGATGTGATTTAATTTCAGGAAATTTGCGCCCCGCTGTTGCGTTTGCAAGCAGCCAATAATGCCAGAGCCGGGCGAAGATGAAACAGTCCGTGTTGTTGCACTGGACAGAAGTTTTCACATTCAGTGCTATAAATGTGAGGATTGTGGATTAGTATTGTCCTCGGATACAGAAGGCCGTGGCTGTTATCCACTGGACGATCATGTTCTTTGCAAAAGTTGCAATGCAGCACGAGTTCAGGCCCTCACATCGCACATGACGACTGAATTATAAATTTTCCACAATTTTTTTTGGAAATATATGCCAAATAAGTTAAATAGAAGTCAACTTAAAATTTTGATATACATCTATAAGAACATTTTTTTTCTCGTCCGCTTAGAATTTAACCAAACACGCTTTTTTTCTATTCGCACAAAGTGCTTACGCTAATTGAAATTTTCTTCTTCCCATTCTTTTTTAATTTTATTAATTTAATCCCTCATTAATATGGAAACTTTTTTTTTGTTACCGATTTGATGTGCCATTTTATAGAAAAATATATTAGCAATTTTGTTCTTTTCTTAAATTTCAATTTTAATACCTACAAATTAAAAATTTTGCTCTTTTGCTCTTCTGCCAATTGCCATATTTAAGAGATCGATGAATGTTTTTATAAAAAAAAAGTTTTTGCATTTTTTCTACACGAATTTACAAATTTTAAACATTTACAGATTGAAATTAGAATATACTCAATAATTACAGTGTAAAATATGTTGTAAATATTTTTTAATTTAGTAAAAAAATGTAGTTGGCGTCACTTTATTTTCAATTACAGTTTATTGCTTTTTTTTGTACTATTTTTATTTCTAATTTTTGGAAAAAATTCGTGCAGCTTAGTATTTTTCTTTTTTTAAAGAAAAATGGTAAATTAATTAGTTTTTACTTTAGAAATAATTATACTCTTGTTGTATAGATTTAAAAGAATTTATGTTAGATTTAAGTAAAGTTCTGATATTAAAAAAAGAATATTCCATTTAGAAATTAAAGAAAAACAATTATGTATTAATTATGTGATACTTATGCGTAAAATAATTCTAAATATTTAGTTTTTTTACGCGAATAAATTATTTCTAATAAAATTTTTTGTAGAATGTATACACTTTCTGTATATTTAATAAAGCGTATATAGAAAAAAATGTCTTTTATTTACAGGGTGTCTACTATTTTCGTTCAACAAAATTCCTGGTTCTTTTTTCGGCTTTGTCCTAATTTTTTCCGGTTTTTTTTCTCATCAAATTTAAATTTATTTCATTTTGAACATAAATAAATCTACAAATGGCTTCCGAACTTTTTATTAGAGTTTTTATTGTTGAAAATATGAACAGTAATAATTATTTTTTTATACTTAATAAGTGAATTTAGGAAGAGGTGAAGAAAAATAAAAAATCCTTTCAAATTGAGTAGATTTCACGTTGCATGAAGTTTTATTATTCTTTTCATTTATGATAGAGATGTACATTTTATTTGACGCTATCTCTTGCTTTACTATTTCTCTCCAGCTATGTTCATGCATAGTCGTCTTTATTCTTTTTTTTTCTTTATTGTTATAATTATAATATTTATATATATATTTTTTTATTTATTTATTTATTTATTTATTTATTTATAATAGACTTTTTAAATATAATATGTATCTCTTACAATATCATGTACTTTTTATTATTGTAAATTAATCCCGTAATAACAACCTACGTGTCATTTTTTTTGTGTATACTTTGTTATATTGGTACATAAATTTTGTTTTTTTTATTTTTTTTATTTTTAATAAGTGCTCAGCTTGTGGAACATGCAAGGTACTTTCTACTACTTTTTTCTATTCCTCTAATTCGTCTTCTACTTTTCAAAAATTATAAGCGGAGCGTATATACATTTTTTTCATAATAAAAAAAGAATCATCGACATAAAAAAAAAATAATAAACAGAAAAAAAAGCATTTCAGGTACGCTACTTATTCATAATCACAAAAAAAAAGAAATTTACACTTTCAGGACTTTTGGGGAAAAAAAATCGTATCCACAATTTCTTTAGGCTCAACGTTTGAAAAAACAGATTAAATTTCTATTCTTTCAAAACCAAAAATTAGGCAAAAGAGCATCGAATGATTCTTTGTCTACTTTTTCAGTCTCTTTTTTAACTACAAAAAAAAAAAAAATTTTCACGAAAAATAATCGCTTGACAATTTTTTCGAATAAGTACTTTGACAGTCCACAAACTCAAACGCGTCATTTTTGCTTTTTTTTATACGCGTATAACACATTTATCTCATCCTATTGATGTCTTGCTATCTACGTATTTCTTTCTAGCTTCTAGCTTAGATTTTTTTTTTGTATTCTCTAATATACGGTGAATATATTATCTTTTTTTTATCAGTACTGTTCTACGTTAAAATCGGTGAGTACAACTTTCTTCTAAACCCATTTTTTTTTCTTCTTTCACCTTTCTTTCCAATTTCGAATTAATAAACAAAGGACCACCGAATTCAACGTAGAATATTTTTTTTTTTTTTTTTTTCTTGCATTTTTATACACTAATTTCTCGCGAATCGATACTAAGTAAATATTCATTCATTTCACGTTAAATATACACATGTGTCATTGATCACTCTCTAAACAAAATTATTTCCCAAAAGATTACAAAAAAAAAATTAATTATTTTTCCGAAAAAAATTTCTCTATTTTTATTTTAAAAAAGAAATTTAAAAAATCAGGAAAAAGAAAAGAAATCAAAAAGAAAATTATTTCTTTTTAATTTCTTTTCTTTTTCCCGATTTTTAAAATTTTTATTTTGTTTTGAAAAAAGAAATTTACTCTATTATTATTGTTTTGAAAAAAGAAATTAAAAAAAAATCAAAAACTAAATAAATAATAAATAAAGAAAGAATTCTAGAGAGAAATCAACTTAGAAACAATAGATATTTCGTTGTATAATTGTCGATGGTAAGGAAACAAGATAAGAGAGTGATCATTAATCGTAGATGTAAATTTTTAAACTTGCACACAATAGTCACAGCCACCAATCCATTTTTTTTCTTTCTTTTTTGAGCGTTCACACAGACACTCTTTTTTTCTAATAATACTCGCGAGCGCACTTTCTAAATCGTCAATACGAGTTTTTTTTATATTAATAACAATTAAATATTTCTCGGATTAATGACGTGTATCGTACATAGAAATAGGTGCTGAAAAAAATGAGTCTGTCCACAATGTACCGAATGGCAAAGGTTTTTTGTTTTCGAATATTTTTTTTCCAAATTCTGAAATTTTTCATGGCCAGTGTAGAAATTTCTTTAAAAACGTACAGAAATTTCAAATAGCCATTTTTATTTTCTAGAACTCCAACTTATGTGTGCCATATTATTTTTTGTCTATATCTATAAACTCGAGTTAACTTTTTTTCGAGTTTCGCATGGCCGTTCGCAAAGGCCCCTTTTTTTATAAATCAATAAATAAACAACAATTTTTTTTTTTAAACTTTCGTCGTAACAATATTTAGAGGCTCTTTGAACGTAACGCAACAAATTTTTTTTTTAACGATACAATCATTTGAAAACAAAAATAGAAGGCACTCTCTCTCTTTCGCTCAATCACGATCGTTCGTTCTTGCTTTCGTTTTTTTTGTAATAAATTAAATTTATTACTTGTTTTTTTTTATTTGCAATAATACTCATTCTAGGCCTTTTTTTCATTCAAATCTACCTCTCCTAGTTATAATTTAGACTATCGGACAAAGTCATGTCTTTCTTCCTTTTATTTCTTCCTCTCACTACTCGACTCTTTGTTCTTTAATAGATATTAATATTATTATTATTATTATTAATATTATATAATATAAGCTACAATATACGAGATATGAGATAACAAATGTCCTTTTTTTATTTTTAATAAAGGTAAAAGAAATTCACGGTCATAACAATTAGGTAGATTATCAGTTAAACCTTTTAATATTATAATAATTTAATTATTGTTATTTGCTTGGAAGCTCACAGCCGACACATTTTTTTAATTCATTATCATGTTTTTTTTCTAATATTTTCATTTTTTTCGGGTACAGGGTTTTCGAATATTTTTCTTTCTTTCGTTTTTCATTCTCATTTTCTCCCTGATTTACTCTTTGTTTTTTTTTTTTTTTGAGAAAAGAGTAAATAAAATTTTCTTTTCTATTATAGAAATGAATTTATTTTTTGTCGCAAAAAAAAAGAAATCGCTAGTTCAGTACTGATCAGAAAGCTCGTTACATTGGAAAAAATAATCTATTTAAGCATTTCCATTTATTTTTATTGCTCTTAAAAAAAAAAATTTTTTTTAAATTGAGCAAAAAAAGGGGGCGAAAAGCTAAGTTCGTTCCAATGGCGAGCAAAGTGAGCGATCCTAAAGTACTCGGATTTAAAAATAAAAAAAATATTTTAGAGAATTGGAAAAATAAAAATGGGAGTTTTTGGCAGTGCCTTGAGCAACTGTTTCGAAACCATCTTTCTAATGCTTCCTCCCTTTTTACCCACGGTTTTCGTTTCTTTCTTTCATTTTTTTTTTTTTTTTTTTTGAACACATGACAGATCGCTCATATTTATTTTATAATATATATATATATTTTTGTACGATAATAACAACGTTATTTGTTTTCTGCCTACCATAAAATGGATCCGTCTAACTACTCTAGCCTTGCTCGCGAGATTCATATTTTTTCGAGCCTATCACGCATAATGTCAAATATCGCCGTTACATTGACGTATTTTTTATTTTTTTATTTTTATTTTTATTTATTTTAATAGCTACATCACTCGAACTCGCAAAACGAAACTCGCTTAAACATATTTCGAAGATTACGTTGCTATTTTCTTATTTCATTCTTATTAAGAATAGTAGATAAATTTTCAAGTCATGAATGTTTTTTTAACTTCAATACGAATAAATCGATAATTACCATTACATAATGTAATTCTACTTTTACTTTTAATTATTTTAATTTATCTTTCATTTACACAGAAGGAAACTAAATATTAAATTTTATAATTATTTTTCAATTTTGAGAGAAAAAAGCGTAATTTAAATAAAAAAAAATAATAAACAAAAAAATTTGGCGAAAAAAAATATCAAAAAAGTTAATCAAATTTTAACATAATTACTAAATTTCATACAAGTTTTTTTAACTGGAAATTTTTCCTCTGTTGCATTTTCTCCCGAAATTGTAAAATACATTTCTAATTAATTAATTACTTTTAATTTAGTTAATTAAATTTATTTTAATTAATTATATTTAATAAAAATAAATTTACCATTTATTTTCCTTCTGCGTGTAAAAAGTAATGAATTTTTTGAACAAATTCGTAAAAGAATTTTCCTATCCGACAAATGCGAATTTAAATCCAAAAAAAAGACGGGAAATACGTTAAATCCGAGAATAGTCGAATTCACAATACGACACAACAATAAGAATTTTTAACAAATTCGGGAAAAGAAATTTTTCTGGTCTGTAAATTGCCATTTTTTCAATCCAAATCTCCTTCACGGAAGAGACGTTCTTATTACAAATAAAAAAAAAAAGAAAAAAGTTTACCAATTTGGCAGAAAAAATTCTTTTTTTATCTCTTTTTGATCTCATCTCTTGGAAAGTTTTACATTTTCGATTGTCAAAAAAAGAAAAAAGGGTACACTCTTCAAAAAAAAAGAGATAAAACTTCATGTATACGCGGAAAAAAAAATGAAGATTGTTTTTTTGGGTTTTCTTGTTTTTATCATTTTTTTTTTTAGATTTCTAGTATAGATAATTATTTTTAGGTATAATATGTGTATATTTTTCTTTTTAAATGCAAGAGATTTTTTTTTTAATTTAACATATAGATTAAATAAACATAGAGTATATGACATGACAAAGTAACACAATAGTTATACTTTTTCTCTTTTAAGCGTCTACTTTTTTTTCCTATTAAAGTACGTAATTTGTCATTGTTTTTACTTCTGTTGATATTTTTTCTTGTATATTTTTTCATTCAAATATTATTTCTTTTTTTTCATTTCCAAACACACTATATTGTTGGGAATGACTCGACTCTTATATGCCAATTACTTTTCAACGGACTTTTCTAATTAAGGGGAGAATTCTCTGATGTTTTTTTTATGCCAAGAGAATAATTTAAATATTCCACTTGGTAATAGTTTATTATTATTATTTGATATTTTAATTAATATTATTTTTAACCTTTGAAAAATTTCCATATTAATATTAATTAATAATTGATAATAATAAATATTAATTACTATTTAATATTTTAATTATTAACATTGTTTTAAACTTCTGAAAATTTTCCGCTTTAATATTAATCAATAATTAGTAATAATAATAAATATTAATTTCTATTTAACAATTTAATTATTAACATTATTTTCAACTTTCGAACAATTTACGTATTAATATTAATTAATAATTAAAATTAATTAATATTAATTATTATTGTTCAAATAATTTTAATAATTTTAAATAATTAATCTGACATTAATTATTATTATTTAATATTTCAATTATTTATATTTTTAACTTTTGAAAAATTTCACGATTAACATTAATTAATAATTATAGTTTATTAATATTTTTAATATTGTTATTAATACTACGCTATTTATTTATTTTATTTTATTTATTACGCAATAGTTTTAATAGTAAATTTTTAGAGGAACTGAAGTCACAAAATAAAATCGTTCGGAAAATATTTTCTCTCTTTTTGAATGTTTTTTTTTTTTTTGCTAAAATAAATTCGTAGACTTTGAAAAAAATGTGGAATTTTGTAGAAAATGTTTTTGTAACCAAAAAAACAATTGCCAAATGGAAAAAAAGATTTTAACTATTTTTGAAGGTTTTTTTTGAAAAAAATTGTCTTAGACAGAAAATTCTACAAAAAAAATATTAATAAAAGTTTTTTATTTGAAAATTCATTTACTTATTTTTCTAATTTCAAAATCATAATTTTTTTTATATAAAAAATAAAAAATATAAAAAAATTATGATAAAATTATGATTTGAATTTAGAAAAATAGACAAATGAATTTTCAAATTAAAAAATTGAACAAAAATAATATTTTTTATGTAATTATTTTCCTAATAAAAAGAAATGAAAAAGAAATAGAAAATGAGTAAACAAAAATAGTAGAAACCAAATTTTTCATTCCGAAACTTCTTTTTTTTATACAAAAATATTTTCTACAAAATTACATAAGTACTAATGTTTTTCAAAATTTACCAATTTTTGAGAAAAATAAATATTCAAAAAGGGTGAAAATATTTTCCAAAAGAAGAAAAAAAAATTACAAAAGGGGTGAAAATATTTAATATTTTCATCCCTTTTGTAATTTTTTTTTCTTCTTGTATTTTCTGATCGATTTAGATTAGAAAATATTTCGACCCCTTTGGTATTTTATTTCTTCTAATAAAAATTAGTAGCTTTTGAAATCAAATAATGAATTTTGTAGAAAATGTTTTTGTAACTAGAAATAAATTGCTGAATGAAAAATTTAATTTTTACTATTTTAAAAGAGTTTTTTTTTTTTTAAAAATTGTTTTTATACCAGAAACACTAAAAATGGTAAAAATTAAATAGTTATTATAACTAGAAAAAAATTGCTGAACGAATAATTTGATTTTTACTATTTTTGAAGCTTTTTTTGAGGAAAAAAAATAGTTTTTATACCAGAAATACTAAAATACTATTTTTATTCAATTTTTTTCTTTGAAAGTTCATTTCTTTATTTTTCAAACCAATTTCAAATCATAATTTTTTAATATTAAAAAAAATATATGAAAATTATGATAATAAAAATATAATTTGTCATTAGAAAAATAAACAAAATAATGGATTTTCAATTTCGAAAATTAAGCAATTTTTGTAGAATTCTCGCAGCGTAAAAACAGTTTTTTTTCACAAAAAAACAAAACAAAAAATTCTTGTTGAAATAGTAAATATCAATTTTTTCATTCGTGAATTTTTTTTCTAGAAAATTTCGCGACAAAATTACGTATACGAATTTCAAAATCTACGAACTTTTTTTCAAAAACCAAAAATTCTGAACGAGTGGAAATGTTTTGTTTCTTATTTCCCGTGAGTTGAATTCCTCCAAAAATCCAAAAAAATCACCACGAATAGAATTTTATGGAATATTTAAATTATATATTCCTATATAGAAAAATAAACGATTTCTTTGACTCAAAAAATGCTAAAATGTTTTGAATTTTTTTGAAACAAACAGAAATATTGATATCACTGAATTCTTCCCTCAAAGTCCGGTTTCTCTTCTCGTCAAGTAAATTTCCTTCTCTTTTAGAAAAATCAATTCGAAAATAATCTTCTTTATGAAAATTAACTGGCACTTGACTTGTATTCGCAGTGTATTGTTAGCTGGACATATTAGCTTTTTAAACTTCAATTTTCTTTCTCAACCAAAGGCCCTGCGTTTCCTCTCGACTATCAACATTTTTACTATTTTCCTAATACAGCCAGGCAAGTGATATTATAATCAAAACAATTTCATAATCGAAAATAATTTCGAAAAATGATTCAGTCTTCTTGTTTTAAAAAGAAAACAAAAAAGGGTTGCGTAATCTTCGAAGGAAATTAAACGCGTTTCGTTTGAGTTTCCTAGAATGATAAGTAATAATAATAAATCTGACTTTTTCTTAAATTGAATTTAGCTGATTCTGAAATGTATAATTAGATATATGCAATATAATATATATATTCGTAATATATATATACTTTTTTTTAAATATTATTATTAATGTATATCGTGCCTCGTACCTAGCAATAATATCTTATAATATCTGTAAATGTCGATATATATCTCGCCTTATACTGATATCTCGTTTCGTATTTATTCTATAAATATTCAACAATTCAGTGACTCGGGAAAAAAAAATTTTTTGAGTCTCGGCTGATTTCGGTGTGTGTGCAGGACTTGAGATCACAAGAGTAAGAAATTGTCCCGCAAAAATAATAACGAAAAAAAGTTTTTTTTAAAGAGTAAGAGCCGCCATTTGATGGCACGAGTCGTTCAGTTGATTTTGTTCGCCGGATGAATGATTACGAGGTGTTGCTGGTGGCGTGATTGGCATTCTTGTTGGAGCATCGCCAGCGCCTCCGATACTGTCGTCAGTCACTTTGGGTGCAATTCCATTGACCTTGTATTTCGATTGACGGAGAATTGACGACGACGATGATGACGACGAATTGTTGTTGTATTTGTTGTCGGTTGTTCGTCGCCCTTGTCCCGGTGTATATCGACGTTGTTGTTGATTCGATTGTTGTTGAATTGGCGTTTGGAAACGATTTTGAGCCGGATTGTAAAACTGGACCTGTGATGTTGGTGGTGAGAGGGTGGGAAGAGGACGAGTCATTGGGGAGTACGGTGCCGGAGGCGGGCTCGTTGATTTCTCGATATTTCCTGTCTCCTTTGAATTCGCATTTGTGCGATTCATTTCGTTTTGATTTTTTTCGATTTCAGTTTTATCAGAACGCGTTATATTGTTTTTGCGAATTGTTTGATGTTTGTCCTGATTGTAATCGTTGCGTCGATTATAGTCGTAATTTGATTTATTCGGTCCCATTGCTCTTGGATTAGAATGATAGGTGGTGGTGGGTTTTTGAGACAAGAAACATGAGGACGAGCCCGCATTCGAACCGTAACGTTTGTAATGTCCAGCAATACGAGAAGAGGGAATTCCGATTGACTGGTATTTGTGCAAATCAGTGTTGTACTTGTTGTACAACGGAGGATTGCCAGAAGTGTGAGATTTGGAAAAGTTGTTCTGATGAATTAGGAAATTGGAATTTTGCGAAACGTAATTGCTTTGTGGATTGGTGAATGTTTTCTGATAGTCGCGATAGTTTTGCTGTTTTTGATTGTACTCGTATGTCTGTTGTTGATTGGATTGTTGTTGTTGTTGTTGTGGTGGTGGTGGAGTGGGAAGGAGACTGCTATTATTGGATGTGTGATAGGGTGGTGTGTGAGGAATGTAAACTGTTGGATGATAAACAAAGTGCATTTGATTTCCGGTTGTGTCGTCTGTTTCGTTTAGGCAAGTCTGTGAATTGTGAATGTTGGACGAATGGACAGCTAATGGATGATAATTAGTGTAACGACCGGACATTGGAACTTTGATCGGCATCACGGGTACCAAAGATGTTGATGACCCCGTGGGCTGTGCAGCCTGCGTTTCACTTTGTTGCTGCTCCGAGTGGCTCGATGTTGAACGAGAGTCCTACGATTTATTTTTGAATATATGATTGTCTTCAATGTTTTTATATCGAGAATTTTATCTGACAATGTCTTAAAATCGAACAAATTAAACCCAGTAACGAGACTCTATTTATTATCGAAAATATTTTTCGACAAAATTTGAAGAATTAAAAACTTGAGAATTTTAAACTCGTCACTGACTTTCTTTTCTTCGCATGAATTAATGAGAATATAAATGTCAATGTTTGTGTAAAATGTGTATTCTGTTTACCATTGTGCCAGCATTCGTTGATGCCCTCTCTCGTTAAAATGCATTACGTTTATTAAAATTACGTAAAGATAATTTAAAAAAAACTCTGTCACGTAGAGATAAATTAAAACCAAGTTAAATGTAAGAATTTTTAACTAATGCTCAATTAATTTAATTAACTAAACTAATTCATTCAATTAGCTAAATTATTCAATTAGCTATTCGATTAGCTTATTTTGTTAATTATCTAAATTATTTCTTTAGCTTATCATTTCAATCAGCTAAATTATTTTCTTTACTTATTCAGGGTTGTCACAAAAATTTCGTGAAATTTTATTAAAATTATATTCAAAATAATTGAATTCGTCTAAAGAATTTTATTATTTATGAAAAAAAAAATTTATTAAAAATAATTGAATTCTTTCTAGAAAATTTTTATGAAAATTACATTGAAATATAATTGAATTCCTGCGAAGAATTTTGCAATTTATCAAGTTGATTAAAATCTTGACGAAAATTTAAAAATATTTTAGAAAATAATTGAATTCTTGCGAATCATTGAATTGAGAAAAATTTTTAAAAATAATTGAATTCTTGCAAATTTGTTCCACGAATTTAATTAAAATAATTGTACTGAAAATTAATTCTTATATAGAATTTTATTTAAATTTATTAAAAATAATTGAATTATTATTGAATTATTGTTTTATCACATGTATGAAAAGAATTGAATGCTTGCAAATTTTTTCGACGAATTTAATTAAAATTGCATTGAAAATTAATTCTTAGAATAAAATTTTATTTAAATTTGTTAAAAATAATTTAATTTTATGATGAAATTTTATTAAAGCTGCATTGAAAATAATTGAATCTCGTGCAAAGAATACTAAAGTTGAATTTTAAAAAATTTTGAATCAATTAAAACCCGTAAAATTCAATTATTGTTATAGAAATAGAAAGAATCAAATCAAATCTTTTCAATATTTTTGAAGTCTGCTGGAGTACAAAATTCAGAATTTTCCTTTGAATTCTAGAAATTAAATATTTTTTTCATTCCTTTTTAGCACTTTTTTTGCCAGTATTTTTTTGATAAAAATTCCTGACTTTTCCTTGTCTAATTTTACTTTCCCCGATTTTTTCCTGACCTGTGGCAACTCTGTTATTAATTCAATTTGCTAAATTATCAGAACTTGTTATTTTATTTTTACGAATTGTTTCATGTTTACTATCCCGATTGAATTAGTTGAATTAATTAAATTAATCCTTTAAAAAAAATTACGCTTAAATTGAAAGAAAAGAAAAAGAGTGAAATTTCTCCGAAAAATGGATTCGAATTAAAAGAATGATGTAATGAAGAAATAAATAAATAAACAAATAAATAAAAAAAAATCATTACCTCCTGTTGATTAGTCTGATTTTCGGTGGTTTGCGGCTGACACGAGGGATCAGTGGTGTAGAGAAGCAATTGCTGATCACCGAGACCGATCTGTGCGTGCGGAGGTGGCGGTGGATGTCCAGTGGTGAAGGAATAATAAACATGATCCATTTGAGAAGCTGGTGGACCAGCAGGAACTGGCGGATGATGATGATGGGGAGCGGTCGATGCGTAATAATGAGTCGGAGGCGGCGGTGGCAATGATTGTAAAGGTGGTGGTCCAGTTGATGGACTCGTTACACCTGTACCATTGATGCTTGTTCCTGAGCCATTTGCATTACCGCTCGTTGTATTTTGTGAATTTCCGGTTGCAAACATGTACTGAGCTCCAGCAGTAGTTGCCCCTGTATAATACGGCTCATACTGCACAAAAAACAATTAAATATTAATTTTCTGTCCCTCCCTCTTCCTTTTCTCTTATTCAATGAAACACACTTTTATTTCAATGCGAGATGCAATCTGTCCTTTTTAAAAATACTTTTTAACTAATAATATTTTTATTTAAAAATAAAATATTTTTAACTAATAATATTTTTTAAAAATAAAATATTTTTAACTAATAATATTTTTTAAAAAATAAAATATTCTTAACTAATAATAGTACTTAATATTTTCTTTTTCGAAAGAAAAAAAATACAATCGCAGAATTAATCCTTTCAAAGATTTTAATTTCTTCTTAATTAATTAGCTTCAAAGATGATAATTAGCTTACTTTTTAAAAAAAGGACTAAAATTAATTTTTTTCTTAAAATTACCTTTTTTTATAAAATGTTTTAAATTTACTTATTTTTACGAATAACTCTATAAAAAAGTTAATTTCTCTTTTCTACAACTTCTTCCTACGACTTGACAATGTCGAAATTTTCTTTTAAAGTATCAATCTGCTTTTGTTTCAGAAATAAAAATTTAAAGCTCAGTATTTTAAAAAAACAGGCTCTAATTGAAGCACAATGAAATTTTGTAAAAATTAATCTATTACGGTGAATAATCAAATTCAAATCTTTTGATATATTTTTCTTAAGATTTGAAGTAAAATTTTTTCTTTTTAGTGTGAAAAATTTACGTAATAATTAATAATTAATAATGCGTGTAAAAAATAAAATTGGCTGGTAAAAACGCAAAAATTACATATTTGCGCTTTTTTTATTTAAAGCTTAATGAATCGTGAATAAATTTTTAAAATTCTGTAATTTTCTACTAAAAAATATCTAAGTTTAGGAGTTTAAAAAATTTATTTAAAAACGAAAAAATAACACGGATATTTTTTTTCATGCTCTTTATACAGCGGTAAAAAATCTAATCTGATTTGACGATTTTTTGCGTTTAAAAAAATTAGGGTTTGCCACAAAAATTGAAGTTTGTTTTTCCCTGATTTCGAGAAAAAATTTTTGATTATTTTCCTGATCCTAAAGAATATTGTGATTCATTATAAAAATTATTAGATATACAAAAAAATGTTCTATTACTTTAATTTACAAATTTCTTTAAATGGAAAATTATTCGAAAATATCAATAACTTCTGTTTTAAATAAATATTTAATTATTATAATTTTTCTGTAGGAATTAAAATTCTTTAAAATATTCAAATTCAAACCTTTTTGAAATTCAATAACTTTGAGAATTTTATTATAAAAAAATGAAGATGAAGATCTTTTATAAAGATAATTGAAATTTTTGACGAGAATTTTTTTTAAAGTTTTGAATATAATTGAATTTCTATAATCATTTGTAACTTCTCCAAAATTCAATTTTTTTTAAGTATTTTTAAGAAAAATTCTTCTATAAATTCATTATTCTTAATAATCAATTGAATATATATTAAAAAATTTAATCTAATTTCAGAAGAATTTGAATAATTAAAATTTTTTCAAAAATCGAAGTTCTTTAAAATTTTTAATTAAATTCATTAAAAATTGAAATTTTATAAAATTGCAAATTGATGCCTTTTAAAGTTCATCTATTTATGAAAATTGTAAACGCAATTTTTTTAGAATTAAATTTAAATTAAAATTTAAATAATTCAATTAAAATTTAAATATTTAAGTAAAATTGTTCTTTGAATAATTTATAAGTAATAATTTTATAATAGTTCTTGAAGAATTAAGTTATTTAAAAAGAAATTATTGTCAGAAATGGAAAAAATTGAAGGTTTTCTATTAGAATTCGTGGTAATTTCCCAGTTTATGAGGCAAACAAAAAAGACACCAAAATTTAGAATTTTTTTTATGAATTTTAAAAACTTAATTTTTTCCTAATACTTTTAATAAAAATTCCTGACTTTTTCCTGACCGGTGGCAACCCTGAAAATGTATTTAAAGACTTCGTTCTAACACAGCACATAGAATCAAAAAGACTAAATATTGTTCAAATACTGAAAAAAATTTGTATAATAAATTAAAGGGCATGTAAGTCTAATATTCAATAAAAATTACTTGAATTAAGACAATTTTCAATTCTTTTTCTTTAATTTTTTCCATCAATTTTTCAGAGAAATTGATAATTCAGAAAAAAAGTTGACTGCAATTGATTAAAAAAAAAATGTGAATGTTTCTTTTGGTTACAATGAGAATATATTTGTACAACGTCAATGAATGAAAAAAAAGAGAAAATAAGAAAAGATAAAGAGAGAAGAAACAAAGAATGCAAATTCATGACAAAAAAAAATCAGGTAGGTGCTTTGAGCATGCGACAGCAAAACAAGGCATGCAATAAATGTGAGCAAACACATGGAATATAATAAGAATGCTCAAATTTTGCAGTGCATGCTGATAATCAAAACATATTCGTCAAAGACCAAGTACCTTTAGACCTCAATACTGTATAGCGTCGAGAAGAACGTAAGTAGGCATTTGTTGAGGATTGGGTAGAAACGCCGGTGGTATTGCTTCCCCCATAAGACTGTTTGTCTGTCAAAACCGTAACCGAGACTACATTTAATTTTCAACAAAAAAAAGAAAATAAAGTAACTAAACTTCTTTCCCTAATTATTTTAAAAACGAACTGTATTTTTTTTAGAATATAAATGACGACACGTTCGTAGTGATTTTCCGACGTTTTTCTTTTTTTTTTTGTCTTTTAAAAGGGATTATTTTGTCGTCGATTACTGAGAAAACTTACCGGCATTGGAGAATACTGATATTGTTGCGGCATGTATATGGATGGCGCTGGACATGGATACATAACTGGAGCAAATGTCTGATGGCTTGCTGTTGCTTGAGGCCCTGAGAAGAAGATTTTCCGTTCTCAATTGATTACGAACGACAAACACCGAAAGTATACTTTATTTCATAAAAAAATCTTCTTTCGTAATTATAAAAAAAATTACTTTTTCTTTAAACTTTTCAATCACGAGAATTTACATATTTAAAAACAAATTTCTCTCTCTTTAAATTAACAAACCGTATTGATTTTCTCTCTAATTTAAATTACAGGCCTCGGATCGACTTTGCAGCGCGAAAAAAGTTGCTTTAGTCAATTAAAAATACAAAAAAATCGAAAAAATCTATTTAATTCAGTATTGTCACAAAAATTTTATTTTCTAGACTATTTCCCTGATTTCCCCTTTTCACTGATTTCTAAATTCAATAATTCAGAACTTGAATAATTTCAGTTAAATATTTATTAATTATAATTGTATTTATAATAAATTGGATTTTGATAAAGAATTTTATAAAATTTTTGAAAATAATTTACGGGCAGAATTTTATTGAAATTATATTTAAAATAATTGAATTTATCTAAAGAATTTTATCATTTATGAAAATAATTGAATTTTTGAAAAGAATCTAATAAAATTCTTATCAGGAATTCAATTACTTTCATAAATAATTAAATTCGTTTGAGGAATTGAATTATAATTGTATTGATAATAATTCAATTTTTATAAAGAATTTTATAAAAATTAAATTTTGCGAAGAATTTAATAAAATTGAAAAAAATTGAATAGTTTCGAGATAGTTTATTAATAATTGAATTGCTGCGAAAGTTTTAATTATTTCTGAAAATAATTAAAATCTTTCTAATTTTATTTTTCAAAAATTTAATTAGAAAAACTATTCAAAAATAGTCGAAAAATGTCATAATATCCGAGGCCTGAAATTATAATCTAACGTTAAGTTTTCAAAAAAAAAGTTTTAAAACGCGACATTTTAAGAGAAAAAAAATCTCTCGCGAACAAATCCGACTATATTTCAAACTGTAAAAAGCATTGAGAAACATAGATCAGCTCTTCCATTGAATTCAAAACTTGCACTTTATTTTTTTTGCAAATGCGGTAAAACTTTTGTGTTTTTGAAAAAAAGAAAGTAACGTGCATTCGTGAATTATGAACAAAAATAAAATTTCAATCAATTATTGTTGTTAATTATTTTCCAAAACAAAAATTGATTGAAATTTTAAAACTCAAGAGCAGGAAAACTTGGATGAAATTTGTCAAAGAGATATATAGGAGAAAAGTTTTCTTGTTTTTCTTTTCAATTTTTCTTTTTTTTTTTTTGTTGGAGAAAAAAAGCAAATGAAAACTTCAATGAACTCTTGTGATGTCAACCAGTTGCGTTTTTAAATCGTGCCATTATAATGAAAATATTACATACCAAATACTCCAGTTGCTTGATAAATCGCAGCGGGATCTGTTGGAGGCGGTGCAATTGCAGTTCCAGGTGCCGGTGTTGCTGTATTATAAAATGTCATACCATTTTGGTAAGTGAGACTCATGCCTAAAAATGTTAGAAAAAAATGTAAGAATTTGTTATTCTTTTAAAATGCAGGCTTCGCACTCAATAATTAATTTTTAAAAAGTGGCAAACAGTAGCTTTAAGAGTGAAAAAAGTAGCAAAGAATTTAATTATTTTTAAATAATAATTGAATTCCTGCAACTAATTTTATTAAAATTTTTTTAAATAATTCAATTCCTGGGAAAAATTTTATATTTTTTGAAAGTAATTGAATTCTTTATTTTATTTTATGAAAGTTGAAAAAAGTTGAATTAAAAATTTGTACTGAAAATAATTGAATTTTGTATTTAAAATTGAATTTTTGCGAAGTATTTTATTAATTTTTCTTTAAATAATTGAATTCTTTATTAAAATTGCAGATTTTGAAAATATTTGAATTTCTGCAAAGGATTTCATTATTTGTGAAAATAATTGAATTCTTGCAAAAAATTTTCGAATTCTTTCTAATAAGAATATTTATTAATAATTAATTAATAATTATTTTACTTCAACTATTAGTAAAATTTAAATTTTAAAGTAGTTCAAATTTTGCAATAAAAAAAATAGAAAAAAGAAGCTTCTGGTGTCTGAAATTTAAAAAAGTATCCAAATAGTAGCTAATGTTACTATAAAAAGTAATAAATAGTAGGTTTTAGTAGATGAGTGCGAAGCCTGAAATTGTAATAAAAATCATTTTAATTATATTTATTAATTTATCAATTGTAGCGATTGTTTTTGTTCAATTAGTCGTTTTACAAAAATAAATCGCTAACAATTTTCTTTTCAATGTCTTCTTAACTAAGTTTAATAATTAAAATTACGAAATTATTTCCAAACGATAATCATTAAACTATGAATTTAAATTAGTTTTTATTTTTAATTGACGATTTTTTTCTAATATAAGAATTGAGAATTTGAATAAAATTTCACTGACCATTCGTGTAATAATAAGTACTGGTAGGCACAGCAGGAGGTGAACCTGATCCACCGTCGAAGGATCGACTAAAAGGCTGTTTTTTAATGGCGGGAGCAATGTTTAACTTTCTTTCCCTCACGATGATGCATTCAGACTGTAAATAAATCTTTAATGAAGGATTCTTTAATAAATCAGATCTTGTAAACAATAACAACAATTAAGAAGAGAATTTCAACATTTTGTGAAAGAACATTTTTCTTCAAATTTTGTCTTTTTTTGAAAGAATTGTTGTCAAATTTAGTCATTTGAAAGAACTTTTGTCAAATTTAGTCAATTTTTGAAAGAACTTTTTGTAAATTTTTGTCATTTTGTCAAAAAAAACGAAGAAAGTAAATCAGAAAGAAACGACAAAAAAGAAAAAGAGAAGAAATTAATGAAGATGATGTAAACCTCTTGTTGAAGACGTTTGGCTTCTTCTTCGGTTTCAAATGTTACAAATCCATATCCCTTCGAGACGCCTGCTCGATCAGAGATTATTTTTGTTGCTTTAACATTGCCATAGGCGGAAAAAACTTGAGCAAGTTCGGCTTCGCTTGTACTCGCTGAAATTCCGCCAACAAAAATGCGATTAGGCACTAAAGTACCGTATTTAGGAGCTGCCATTGCAAGGCTCGTTGCTGAAGCAGGGCTGGAGGCTGGACTGGACCCCTCCGTGCCCCCCGTGGATGCAGAACTCTACAAAAAACAAAATCAACATTAATTTTCCATTTTTTTCTCCCCTTCGACAATTTGCCAAAAAATTTAATTCAATATATTTCAAATTAAATACTAATTTTCATTTCACAAAAAAGAGAAAGAATTTCAATTTAATAATTTTCATTTCACAAAAAAGAATTTCAATCTAATACTAATTTTTAATTCACAAAAAAGAAAAAGAATTTCAATCTAATACTAATTTTCATTTCACAAAAAAGAAAAGGAATTTCAATTTAATACTAATTTTTAATTCACAAAAAAGAAACAGAATTTCAATTTAATACTAATTTTCATTTCACAAAAGTTAAAAGAATTTCAATTCAATAAAAATAGAAAATCAAATTAACATAAAAATAAAGAATAAAATTGCCTACTTTTAATTAAAAAATCACAGAATTTAAATATTCGATAAATTAAAAATGAGTTTTCCACTTAATTAATTAAAAACAAAACATGAATGTCTATTCTCTTTTCTCATAAAGGTTTTCAGATAAAAACATTTTTTTTAACTCTTGAGAAAAACAGTGCGTAGCTGTTATTTTTTTCTCTCGATGTATAAAATTCTTAGATTTTATGTGCATTTAAAAGGTAAATATAAACAAAAACAATCTAAATCATTTAAAAAAAAATAAAATGTCAAAATATATTTCAAACTTTACATAAAAAAGAATTAAAATTAAAAATTTACTTTAAAGAAACAATTGTATAAAAACAGTTTAAATCTTATTTTTCGAATAATAAAAATAATTAATTTCACTATAATTGTCATTATGAAAAAATGTAACCTTAAAATTCCTATAGAAATCCCAAAAAAGAAATTTTCCTCATTTAACAGGTAACGATCGTAATTATCATAAAGAAACTTGGAAATTTGACCTGTATTCGCAACACTTGAAATCAACTGTCATCCGAAAAAAAACAGGACAAACATTTAAATCACCATAGCAATATATTTCGGAAAAAAAGATCTCGTCACTGTCAAAATTAATTTCTCAATTTCTAAGACGCACAAATCACAATTAGAGGAAAAAAACAACAAAAACAAAAAAGCATCAATGGCATTCAGGATGTGTGCTATATATTCGACCCTGAAGATGACATGCATGTAAATCTCTAGTCTCTAACATAATTGACCGTGTAGAAAACAAATACAAATGAATTTCATGTAAGATATGTTTTGACACATAGCGAATCTTGTTCATAATAGAAAAACACAGGTAAATCAACAAGTCCCGATTTCTCTCCTAAGAGAGACTGACAATTTCGCACACATCACATCAGAAAGCAGGATTTGTGAATTTCAATAAACTAGGTTAACGACAAGTTTTCTTAAAGGACACATAATTTCAATGATTTTAATAAAAAACTGTTCATGAAACAAGTAATAGAAATAAAAATCAATGATCGTTTTTGAACCGAGAAAGCGTCAGATGTGTGTAATGGATGTTGAAGGAGTAAACTGGGTAACTGGTTTTTTTTTGGCAGAGTGTACTCACCATCTTCGAATATGAAACGAATGCGCTGAGTTTTTTTTTCTTTCGTGTATTTGTTTTTGTTTATCGTTGTCAGAACAGTTGTAAGGTCCTGTGGCCTCGCGTAAGGTCACCTGGATACCCAGGGACTGGCAAGGACCGTTGCAACGACTTGATAAGGACTTCCAGTCCCCGTCGAAGCTCCTGTTCTCCTTTACCGAACCTGCAAACACACCACACACACCACACGGGAACACTTTTACAAGATGGCCGTCTTGGTCACACACACACACACACACACCGCGCGCGACTGTCCGTTCCATTTGAACCTTGAAGGACATTAAACATTCTCACCCATATATTCAAAACATAAACATTACCTCACATTTCTAATTCGATCGAAAATTTATACTAAATTCATTTCTATTCTCACGAGATCGAATTAATTAATTATTTCTTAAAATCAAAGTTACGCCTTTAGTGTAAATGTCAAAGTGTAATTTTAAACTTTCCCGCTTCTCTTCTTACCGACCGAGTGATATTTACCGACCGAATTCTCTTTTGATAAAAAACTTACAAATTCCTCCACAGAAATTTCAAATTGAAAATTGGGAAATTCTATTTGGATTTTTCAGAAGAAAAAAATGTATGTTTATAGATTCGCATTGTGAAAAATGATAATAGATAACAAGATTCCAAGGTCACGATTTGTAGACGATTTAAATTCAACTATGAGGAATGAATCCAAGTATGTATTTTGACTGTTGTTCGTACACAAAAATTCGTTAGTTCTTAGTTACAAGCGGATTTTTACATATATTATTAAAATTTGTGTTTACTTACCCTTGATTTATGTCCTGTTGTTCGGCATTCGGTTGATATAAGCATAATAATATTTTTAAGTAACTAATTAATAGGAATTAGTATAAAAGAGTAACAAAAAAAAAACGGTGAAATCTGAACTAGAACTGAAACGCAAAGAAAAGCAAAATGGCGTCTTTTGTGTCGATCTAGGCCGATCGGGAGAGAACAAAAACAATTGCCACACGTTTTTTATATATTTAACCTCCGATTTGAAACACACACACACTTTTTCAAACAATAATGGATAATATTCTTTCTTTTTTTCGAATAAAATTGGTAATATTTTCTCAAAATTCACTTTTTCTTTTTTGACATTTATAGGTTAGGTTTACTCTTAACATTTATTTTACTCATTTTTTTTTGTTAAGTAATATAAAATATAAATAATTATATATAAAAATTGTCATTTTATTCAAAATATGGATTCAGATTACAAAAATCATGAAATATTTTTTATATAAAATATGATAGAATCGATTGTCTTATCAAAATATATATGAGTATTTATCAAATATGAAAGTGTTTTATAAAAAATATGGAGATGTTTTTAACAACGATATTTTTAACTTATAATTATAATTAACTAATAATATATTTATAATATATAATTGATAAAAACTAATAATATCAGGAAAAATAATTATAATTATAAATATAAAAGTATATCGCAATATTTTAATATGGACGGTTTTTGCGCAAAAAATCGATTTTTCTATTTCTAATCACCGCGACGTTAATAATCTCATTTTTTTCATTTTGAGATCAGTATAAATTGTAAAAATTTATAATTATTCAGGAATTAGTATTCTAAATATGGAATATTATGCTAGAGAGAAATTTAATACTTGTTAATCGATTCATTAAAAAAGGCACATACTTTTTTTCTAATGAGCTAATTTTTTACGAAAACTATCTATAGATAAACAATTCAGTTTCTTTTTAATGAATCTATAATGTATATCACATATGAAAACTGCAAAGACAGAAAATTTCATTTCTAACTGTCGAGAGCATCGAGAGTTTATTTTGTTTGATATTTTGAAGTTATGTTCGTCACTCTCGTGACAGTTTTTAATTATTTGGAAATTTATTCAATTATAAATTAACTATGAAGGAGAAAAGTAAAAAAATGTTATTGCAGGCATCACAGTTGGTCCCATTTTCTCCTTTTGTCAATTATTTTCAAAAATAATAAAATTCTTTGCAGAAATTCAATTATTTAAAATACTAAATTTCATAAAATTTGTCGAAAAAAATTAATTATTTAAAAAGATTTTTATAAAATACGTCGCAAGAATTCAATTATTTTTATAAATAATAAAATTCTTCACCGAAATTCAATTATTTTTATAAACTTGAATAAAAATTTCAAAAATAATAAAATTCTTTGCAACATTTCACAGAAATTCAATTATTTACAAAATTTTTAATACATTTCTTCAAATTAATTCAAATATTTTCATAAATAATTATTTAGAATTTTTGTTTATAAAATTCGTCGCAAGAACTCAATTATTTAAAAAAAGTTTAACAAAGTTCTTTTCAAGAATTCATTTATTTTTGCAAATAATAAAATTCTTCGTAAAAATTCAATTATGTTCCAAAATTTTTTCAAAAATTCTAGTTAAAATTGCAATAATTTTAATAATAAATAATAAAATTCTTCTTCGAAATTCAATTATTTTTAAAAATTTTGATAAAATTGTTGGCAAAATTTTTAATAAATTTCTTCATTCAATTATTTTCATAAGTAATAAAATTTTCACAGGAATTTAATTATTTAAAATACTAAATTTCATAAAATTTTTCGGAAAAATTCAATTATTTAAAAAGAATTTTATAAAATTCGTTGCAAGAATTCAATTATTTTCATAAAAAAAATTTTTTTACTTAGATTTAATAATTTTTATAAACAATAAAACTCATGGCAGAATTTAAATTATTTTCAATACAATTTTAATTTAAATTCTGTTGAAATTAGTTGAATTTTTTAATATGTATTTAATATTATTTCCAAAATTTTAACTCAATTCTTTTTGATAGAAATCAATTATCTTGATAAAATGTCAAAATTCTTCACAGAAATTCAATTGTTTTTCGGAATTTTAATAAAATTCTTTGCAAAATGAAATTATTTTCATAAATAACAATATTAATCACGTGAATAAAATTATTTTCAAGAGTAATAAAATTCTTTCCAGAATTTCAATTATTTATAAATTTTTTATCAAATTTCTTCGCAATAATTCAATTATTTTTCTAAATAATCAATTTCTTTTTAGGAATTTAATTATTTTCATAAATAATAAAACTCATTACAGGATTTTAATTATTTTTGATAAAATTGTAATCGAATTCCTCGAGAAATGTAATTATTCTTAAAAATTTGATTAAAATTCTTCAAAAGAATTCAATTATTTAAGAATTTGGTGATAAAATTCTTTATGAGAATTCAATTTTAACAAACATTCAATTATAATAAATTATTTTTTATTTAAAGAATTGAAATTTCGTAGAGTTTTCTAATAAAAATTGATTTAAAAATGAATTTTCAAATGAGCGATTTATTATTAATGAAAATAATTGAATTCTTGTAACGAATACATTTTTTTAAATATATTTTGTTTAAATAATTGAATTCTTTTGAGAAATTTTACTGCTTGTAAAAATAATTGGATTCTTGCGAAAAATTTTATTAGGATTTTAGAAAATATAATTGAATTCTTTTGAGAAACTTTACTGCTTGTAAAAATAATTGAATTCCTGCGAAGAATTTTATTTAGATTTTTGAAAATAATTGAATTTTTTTTTTTTTTTTTTGAAAAATTTTATGGTAATTTAAATTATTATAAAAACTAGTAAAAAATTTAAATTATATACAAGTTGTATAAAGAAATAAATTTTTATCTCCTTTTTGAGGAAAAAAATTCCCCTTTTCACCTTTTTTGAAGAAAAAAAGTACTGTGATGCCTGTTATTGTCAAGAAATTGTCTTTGCAAGTTTCGGAAAGTTGCACTGAGTACTTGAATTTGCCAATAATTGAAAAAGAGTCAATCAACGACATGATTTTAAATGAGTATTAAGTACAGTCCTTGTGACAAAGCCCTTACAGCATCGGGGGCACAAATAAGGCCTTTCGCCACTGTGATACCTTTTATGAACAACTAAAGTTGATCGTTGAGTAAAAGCCTTTCCGCATTGATCACAAGAATATTTTCGTTCACCAGTGTGCGTCACGCTGTGTGTCCTTAAAAGTGTTTCGCACGCAAAACATTTACCACAAACCTCACAAGTATAAGGTTTTTCGCCCGTATGCGATCGTGTATGAATTTCCAAGCCCTTCGCAGTTTTCAATTCCTTTCCACAAAGTGCACAAAGATAACGTCGCCTCTCAACAGTTTGCACCGTATCCGAATGACCCTTTATTTTATGTTGCTTCAACATTGAACGATATTTATAAACTTTCCCACAAATATCACATTTATGCTCACGTGCTGTCTCCTCATTTTGTGTTTCTATTGTTTGTTGATTATAATGATACAATTGATTGTGTTCCCTGAGTGTGTAAACATCGTCGAATGTGGCGCCGCACGCATTACATTGATGAAATTGCATAAATTCATGCATTGCCGTGTGTGTCATTAAATCCTCCTCACGATTAAATACTTCGCTGCAAATTTCACAAATAAATTTCATCTCCTTGTGTAAACGTTTAATGTGTCGTTCAACGTCAGATTTTGATACGCCCATGAAATCACATTTATTGCAAGGCACTATTTTTGGTGTATGTGATTTTTTCACGTGAGCATTTAACATAAATTGTTGTGGATATGTTTTACCACAGTGATCACATTTAAAGGGTCTTAATATTCCGTGTTCTATTCGTAAATGTGCCACTAATCTCGTGACAAAGTGGAATTTTTCCCCGCAAAATTCGCATGTTTTCTCACCACTGCTCTCAAATCTAGAAAAAAAGAAAAATTAATTAAAATCATTTTTTTTTAAATTGAAAGCTTATTTTTATACATAAAATTAAAATGAGATTTTAAGTTAAAAATTTATTTAATTTAAAACTTTGTTAATTTTTTTTTAAATAGAGAAATATTTACTTTTCATCCACTCTTTCGATTGTGTCTTCAAGTTTAATCTTGTACTCCTCAGTTGCAAGTTGAACATCATTTTCCCAGTTTCTGTAAAGAAAAAAAAATTGAAAATTTGCAAAAATATTATTAAAAAATTCTTAAATTATTATTTTTAATTATTTTTACGAGTATTTAATGATTTTTTGATAATAAAAAATTTTTTAGCTTCTCTCCATTAGAAGAAATTTTTCTACTTCTCCTTCTTCTTTTATTTCGTTTCTTCATCAAAATTTCCATAATTTTTAATAATCCTTAGCGATTATATTCCCAATTACGTTTTTCTCTAGACTTCTTAACAAATTATTGTTGTAATTTTTTTAATTATTTAAATTAATTTTTTTTAAATGCAGCTTTTCTTCATATTTTTTTCTTCATGAAAATTTTCACAATTTTTATTAATCATTAGCGATTATATTCTTAAATAATTATTTTGTTAAAATTTGTTAACAAACTAATGTTACAATTTTTTAAATAATTAAATTAATTTGATGTAAATTAATTTTCAAAAAATTTAAACTTCTCTCCGTAAAAAAAATTTCTTCTTGTTTTTTTCTGCTCTTAAAAATTCCCACAATTTTAATAATCCATAGCAATTATATATTCTCAATTATTTATTTTGTTTAAATTTTTTAAAATTATTATAGTTTTTTTAATAATTAATTTAATTAATTTAATTTACATATTAAATTGTTTTTTTCTTCATAAAAATTTCCACAATTTTTAATAATCCATGGCGATTATATTCCAAATTATTTGTTTTGTTTAAACTTTTTAACAAATTGTTATAACTTTTTTCAATAATTAATTAAATTAATACAATATGTACTTAAATTAAATTAATTCAATGTAAGATCCTTAAAATAATTTAATGTAAATTAAGTAAACTGATTCAAAGTAAATTAATTTAAAAAAATAGACTTAGAGAATTGAAAATTAAATAATATTTTCCAAAAATTTAGAATTTAAAAAAAATGAAATTAATTCAACGTAAATTAAGTAAATTGATTCAACGTAAATTAATTTTAAAAAATTGACTTAGAAAATTGAAAATGAAATAATATTTTCCAAAAATTTAGAATTTTATAAAAAATGAAATGAATTCAACGTAAATTAATTAAATTAACTCAACGTAAATTAATTTTTAAAAATTGACTTAGAAAATTGAAAATGAAATAATATTTTCCAAAAATTAAGAATTTTCTAAAAATGAAATTAATTCAACGTAAATTAATTTTAAAAAATTAACTTAAAGAAATTGAAAATTAAAAATTATTTTCCAAAAATTTAGAACATTGAAAAAACTAAATTAATTCAATTCTATTAATTATTTAATTCGTTCATTATTGTTATTATTTATTAATTATTATTTTAATTAATTTTTTAACTTAATTTAATTAATTATTCTTCTAATATTTAATTTTTTATATTAGGTAGTTATAATTGAATACAAAAAATATTTTTCAAAAATTCTGAATTTTTAGAAAATTTGTTAAAATATTTGCAATAAAGATTGAAAATTGTAAATTAAACAGTTTGAAACTTTATAAATTATTTTCTAAAATAAATGACGAAATATTATTTCATTAAAAATTAAAAATTTAAATTTAAAAAAGAATTAAGCGAATTTTATTTAATTTGAATACATTCGGAACTTTTGGGTCATAAATAAAAAAGTAATTTTACTAAAATATCAATAATTACTGTTAAAAATTTTTTTTTAAGTTAAAATTAAAAAAAACATAAAAATAAACTGTAAAATTCTAAATTTCCATTTGAATAATCAGAAAATGTAAAATTTGAAATAGAATTTGAAAACAGACGGAGTAAAAATTTTTTTTTTATTTTACGATATTTTTTTTAAATTAAGAATTAAAATTTATTATTGAACTGTAAAAAAAAGATTCACGTAAATTATATAATATTATATAATTAAAAACAATTATTTATAATTTTATATTATTATTTTTGTTATATATAAAAATAGAATAATCGAGTAGAAAATTTTCAATAATTAAATTTATTGACAAGTACAATGGGATTTTGTTATAATACGAAAATGAAAAAAAAATACAATTTTTTTATAAATTAAGTCCCTTTTGGTATTGGAATTTATTTTTACTTTTAGCATTTATTTTACTACTTATATTACATATATTTACAGTAGTAAATAATCTTAGTAAATAATTTGCAATAACTTTGCTTAAATTTTATTTATGGCGGTATTTTTTTAAAATATATATTTGTATTGTGTTTAAATTCTAATTTTGTTTTAAATATAAATTTATATTATTTAAAATCTAATTTTTCTTTTAAATACAAATTTTTCTTTAGTAATTTTTCTTTTAGATAAAAATTTTTAATTTAGTAATTTTTCTCTTAGATACAAATTTTTAATTTACTAACTTTTCGTTTAGATGCAAATTTTTAATTTACTAACTTTTCTTTTAGATACAAATTTTTATAAATACTAATATTTTTTTAAATATAAATTTATATTATTTTTCTTTGAATTTTAATATATATTTATAATATTTAAATCCCCATAACAAGAATGATATAAACGATATTCATAACGTTGAACTATAGACGATGTAAAATTTACTTAATATAATTAGGGAACGAAAATAATTTTTTTTATATTTTTTGTTTTTTTAGTTTCATAGCCTCATGAGCGTATTTTTTTCAATTTAGTTTGTGTTTCAAGTATTAATTTTTTGTTTCTTGTTTACTTAATAGAAAACAAGGTTTTTAATCAGAAATTACTTTTCTAAGTCGCGAGTGACTAATTTACAAACAAATATGAAAATGAAAAAAACTTTCTCTTAACGTACGATTTTCTTTTTTTTCGCAAAGAGAACAAGAATATAAACGAAAATGTTGAAATAAGAAAAAAAATTGAGAAAAACACGAATTATTTCAACCACAAGAATTATTGAACGATAACATTTTTCTGAAACACGAAAAAATGGTGAATAACCAAAAAGGTATTTTATTTTCTTTTTTTCTCGTATTTTCTTCTCTCCAATCTTTTTCTCTTCTTTCGCCGTCTTTTTGGTACTGCGTTATTTCTCCTTTCAAGAAATTCTTTTTCATGCAGATTCAGTTCCATTTCTTCTATTGTATATCCAATGTTTGAATTCTTTTCCCCATTGACAGAATTTACTCGTTGATTTTCATTTTCGGTATTCTCTAAAATATCCTCCAAAATATTATTATCATCATCATTTTCCACCATTTTCAAAATATTCTCCTCGTTTGTGTTCATTTGCAAAATATTCGCTTCATTCTCGACAATTTCCAAAATGTTCGCCTCATTCGTGACAATTTCCATAACGTTCGCTTCAATTGTGTCGATGAGTTGATTCGCATCGTCATTTTGTTCGGAATTAACAGTTTCCTCTTCGATTGAATTGATTTTATTTTCCACGTTGTTTTCTGTTTTGTTTGTTTTCCCAATTTGTTCGGCGACAGGTTTTTCGAGGTCTTTGTTTACTTTATTTTCTTTATTCGCTTCTTGATTCACTTCTGAATTCAGTTCTTGATGCACTTCTGGATTCAGTTCTAGATTCGCTTCTTGATTCGCTTCTTGATTCGCTTCTGGACTCACTTCTTGATTCGCTTCTTGATTCACTTCTTGATTCACTTCTTGATTCACTTCTGGATTCACATCTTTATTCGCTTCTCGATTATTTTCTTCCGGATCATCAACTTCTTGATTTTCGTGATTTACTGAATTATTCCCATTTTCGGTGGTTTCGCTATTTTCCTCCACGTACTGATAGGCATCATCGGGCAATTCCCTGAGAATATCGTTAATAAATACACAAGGCATGTGAGGCAGATCGCCGGGATGTGATTTTCGATGCGCACTCAAACCGGGTTTTTGTGTAAAACTTTTCCCGCAAATATCACAAACATAAGGTCGTTTACCAGTGTGTATCAATAAATGCTGACGAAGTGTATTACTTTTTGCGAATGATTTCGAACAAATACTGCATTTATAAGGTTTTTCGCCCGTATGCTGACGCATGTGACTCTTAAGATCCGATTGAATGTCAAATTTCTTGCCACATTGTTCACAAACAATTGTTTTCATTCTGTGCGTCTGTAAATGACGACAGTAAATTGCCCTTGTTTCCAGAACTTTATCACACTGCTTACAAGTGTATTTCTTTTGCGAATGAGAATAATTAATGTGACATTCGAGAGTGTAGTAATTCATGAATGCTCTACCGCAAAAATCGCAGAGAACACTGCTGTTGGTTTCGGTTCTGTGATCTTGATCCATGTGCGATTGGAGGGAATCAGAAGTGTTGAAAGCACGATCGCAATTTTCGCACGGGAAGCGATATTCCTGGCAATGAGCACGTAGACGATGGATTTTGAGATTCCATAAATTACTGTGGAAGTAGGAACAAGAAGTGCATTTGTAGCCTTTGATATTGTGAATGTCCTGTCTGTGCATTTGAAGCAGAAAGGGAAATGGGAAGACAACGTCGCATATTTCGCAAACATTTTTTAAATGTATCCAGTGTTTGACTAGATCCGCATAGGAATTGAATTCACAATTGCAATGATCGCAGGGATAATTCTCGTTTAAGGGTAAATTTTCAATGTCCTCGTTCACTTGGAGAATTACTTTTGGTGTCAATTCGGATGTTTTGTACTTTTTCCCGTCCTGCGTGATTTCGGTTCTTGAATCTTTGAATTCTAGATTTGCAAATATGTCTGGTAGATATTCGTGAGATGGCGTCGGGCTTCCAGCGTATTTTTCTTGATTACTGGAAGTTGATGGAAGCTGAGAGTTTGACGATGAAACAAGGCCGTCGATTACTAGAATATTTTCTTTGGAATCGATCGATTTTTTCTCAACTAGATTCGAATTTGCGTTTCCTTTTTGATTCCTTTCTGGTTCCGTGGTGTTTCCAACTTTTGTCAGAATCGAATCGCTGATATCAATCGGATCTTGCTGCACTTGTGGTTCGTGGGTCTCTGTGTCGCGAAATTCTTCCCACAGGATTAATTCTTTTCTGAGAACTTCTGTAGAGGGTACGACAAATTTTCCCGACGTCTTTGGATGAATCACACCGATTTTTGTCAATGGTTTCAAAATTTGGTACTTCGACGTATTCCCTTCTTTTACGTTTTCATTCGATTTTATTTCTCCACCTAGAATTTTCTTGATGACAAATTTTTCTCGATTCGCATTTTCCGACAGAGCAGGTAGATTGAATATTCCCCGATTAGTCTGAATCTGTTGATTTGGTTTACGAATTAAGTAAAATTTCTTCGATATTTGATTCGGAAATTGAGTTTCAAAATTCTTTTTCTCCTTTGGATTGACAATTCGAACGATTGTTCGTTGAACGAACGGTTTTGGTATTGTTTCCGTATTATTTTCCATTTTGCTTCGATCTTCCAATTCGACAATGGGTTTTACTCTCAAAATTTGTCTCTCTCCTGGGTCAATAGAATTTTTTTCCTTTAATTTTCTCTCATTCTCAAGTTCCTTTCTTCTTTCATTATAAAGTCGGACTTGTTCACGTTTCTTTTCGGTTGGTTTTCTTTTAGACCATTTTGTTCTTTTACTCGCTCGACTTCTCCTCTTGACGGCTCTTAACATTGCCTCGGACATTTTTTTACATTTCTCCTCAACTTCAGTTTTCCTAAAACAAAAAAAAACAAAGGAATATTTATTACACTGAATTTGCAAACAATTTTTCTTTTTCTTTATACTTACTTAAATGCAAAATCGAATTAGTTTTTTCCGCAAAATTTATCTTTTACCCGATTCCCTCGTAAAATAAAAATGAGACGATAAAATCGAAGAGATGTTAAATTCTACGATTAAAAATATAGGAAATAAAGTTCTTGAAGTTATTTATTTTTTTTTTTTAATTACAACTGTAAGAAAACTTTTACAAAACAATTTTCGTTGGGGGAATATAAAAACAATGAATATTGTGTTTTTGTACAAAAATCATCGCACTTTGTGTCTTTTTTGTAATTTAAATTTAATTTAAATATTTTTCATCAACAATATACTAATAATAGTTTAAACAAAAATTATAAACGAGAATTTCTTGAAATGAAAATAAATGAAAATGAGTATAAAAAATAAAGCAAATTTTTAGTGACTGGTTTTTCTTTTTAATTTTTATGGATCTCAAACTTCAATTTCCATTTTAATGTGAACTTGTCCACCTTCGATTTTTTTGACATCTTTATTATCTTCGGTTTTGTTGGTATCGGTAGTTAATTTTTTGTCACTCTCCTTATCACTAGAATTTTTGACTTTTTGACTTTCTTTTTTCTCCTCTTTTTTTTCTTTAAAATTTTTCTTTTTCTTCTCCACCGTCTCGTCTGCAGTCTCGTCTTCCTCAAAATCCTTATCATCGTTCTCGGTTTTTTTTCTCTTCGCTCTTCGCTTACGTTCCCAATTTTGCATGAATTTCTGAAGAATATGTTGAACTGAAGTTGTCGGCGCCGGTGGCAATGGTCCCGGATGAGATTTCCGATGAAAATTGAGATTTGACTTTTGAATAAATGTCTCCTGACAAATGTCACATGCATAAGGTCGTTTACCAGTGTGAAGCAATAAATGTTGATGCATTCCTTGTTTTGTCGTGAAATGTTTATTGCAAACCATACAGGGAAATGGTCGTAGATCGTGATAGATTCTCATGTGGGAATTTAATTTACGACTGTCGGGAAAGACTTTTGTGCAAAATGGACAGGGATATTTTTTGTGTTTACGTTGCATGTGAGCTTCCAAATTTTCCTTTCGTACAAATGTTTTTTTACATTTTTTACATTGAAATGGCGTTGGTGTATGATGAGTTCTCACATGACGAGCCATTGTATATTGACTGCATTTTAGTCCACAAGTTGTACATTCAATTTGTACAATATTGGTGTGAATTCGTTTCATGTGCTCACGCATTCCTCTTTTGTATTTAAATACTTTGTCGCATAAGTCGCAGGGAAAATTTGTTGGATTCTCCTCTAATAAAACACATTCGAGTGGTAATGGTGGTTGATTTGAATTGTTCTCCTCATTTTTCCCAGAAAGACTGAATGGATTTTTGCCAAAATTCTTATTTATTATTATTGGTGTATTGGGGAAATTAATTTGAATTCGATTCTCTTGATTTATATCGTGTTCGTCGATTGCCAGTGGATTCACGACATTATCCTCCTCAATTAATTTATCATTGGAATCATCATTATCATCGTCGACGTCATCATTGTCGTCATTTTCGATCCATTCGTCTTTACATTCCACTTGAAATTCATTGTTCCGTTGATAAAACGTTTCATTTGCCCACGACTTGCAGACGATCTTCATACTAAAACAGAATAAAAACGAATTAGATAGGAGGAAAAATTTCACAAATATTAGAGAAAAAGAACTTAAAAATAATTTTATCATCAGTAGATGATAAAATTATTTTTAAGTATTTAAATATCTATTTAAATTATCTCTATTTCAATCGAGAGGGTCCATATTCAACATACATCGGAGTAAAAAGAAAAAATTTATTTATCAATTTACAAAAATTCTATGTACATGATTTTTCTTTCTACAAACTTTAGAGAATATGGAAGAAATAAATTGATTTTTATTTTACTTTATCTAACAAAAATTAAGCATTAGCAACTAAATTATTCGGAAGTATTGTCACTTTTTCATTTTTAGAATTTATTCTTCCATTTATTAAACAAACTTTTATTTAGAAGAAATTATTTCGAAATATATTTTTAGCAAAATTATATTCGTTACTGTATATGAAAATATAAACGCAGACTTTTGATAATTATTAATATACAATTGTATTTTGTGTAGAGAATGGAAAAATAAAGAATATTTCGATTTTTAAACTAACTTAATTAAATTGGTAACGTGACATTGGTTTTTTATTACATTAACAAAATATCGTTTAGTGATTATTAAACAAAACACGCTTATTACAAAACAAATAATAAATAACTTAAATTTACTCCAATCGGAATTCATCAAAATTTATCAATTACCTGGAAAATCGTGTAATTTTTTTTGAAAGACTCATTTCTAAAAAATTAATTTCTATAAATTAATTTCTATTCATTAATTTCCATAAATTAATTTCAATGAATTAGGTTCCATATATTAATATCTATGAATTAATTTGAAAAAATTTTTCCATAAATGACTTTCTATAAATTAATTTCCACGAACTAATTTCTATGAATTAATTTCCATAAATTAATTTATGGAATAGAAATAAATTTCTACGAATTAATTTCTACAAATTAATTTCTATGAATTAATTTCTACAAATTAATTTCTATTAATTAATTTCTACAAATTAATTTCCATAAATTAATTTATGGAATAGAAATAAATTTCTACGAATTAATTTCAACAAATTACTTTCTACGAATTAATTTCTATACAAATTAATTTCTATAAATTAATTTCTAAGAATTAATTTTCATAAATTAATTTGTGAAATAGAAATTAATTTCTATAACTTAATTTATAAAACTTAATTTGTTTTCATTAAAAAAAAATTCTATAAGAATTAATTTATAAATATTTATTCGTTTTCATTTAATAAAAATTAATTTCTACGAATTAATTTTTGAATAATAAACTTCATTACATTAATTTTTATAAAACGAAAACTAATTAATTTTTACAAATTAATTTCCATAAATTAAGTTTTATAAAACGAAAACCCACTAATTTCTAGAAATTAATTTTTTATGATTCAATTTTCTATAAATCAATTCCTATGCATTAATTTCGATAAATTAATTTCTATAACTAAATTTATAGAAATTAATTCGTTTTCATTTAATCAAAATTAATTTCTGAAAAATAAATTTGTAAAAAATAATTTTTATAAAACGAAAACCAATTAATTTTTACAAATTATTTTCCATAAATTAATTTTTATAAAACGAAAACGAATTAATTTTAAAAATTAATTTCTTTGAATTAATTTCCATTAAACGAAAACTAATTAATTTCTAGAAATTAATTTTTATGAAACGAAAACTAATTAATTTTTAAGAATTAATTTCGATGAATTAATTTATATAAAACGAAAACTAATTAATTTTTACAAATTAATTTTTATAAAACGAAAACGAATTAATTTTAAAAATTAATTTCTTTGAATTAATTTCCATTTAACGAAAACTAATTATTTTCTAGAAATTAATTTCATTGAATTAATTTTCATAATTTAATTTTTAATAAACGAAGACGAATTAATTTCTATAAAGTAATTTCTAGAAATTAATTTTCATAAATTAATTTTTATAAACAAAGACGAATTAATTTATATGAAACAAAAACTAATTAATTTATAGAAATTAATTTTTATAAATTAATTTTTATATAACGAATAGGAATTTATTTCTAGGAATTAATTTCTGTAAATTAATTTCTATAGATTAATTTCCATAAAATAATTTCTGTAAATTAATTTCAATGATTTAATTTCTGTAAATTAATGTTAATCAATTAATTTTTGTGAATTAATTTTCTACAAATAATTTCAATGACATAAAATAAAAAATGTTTGCTGCTTTTAAAATTGTTCGCGTCGAAATTAGTGAATTTTGAATTAAATCGGTGAATTCGGAATTCGAATGAATTATTGTTTCGATTCATGTTTCATTTGTTGAATGTGTTTGCACAATAAAATTTCCCTACTGTATCCAACGCCGCAAACTAAACAAACTTTTGTCCTCAAATGCGGCTGATAACGAACCTGAACCGATTCAGTTGAGGGAAATATAAGTTGTCCCAATGATTGAAAGGGATTTTTTAACGTAACAGTTTGTGGTTTTATATTATTTCTCGGCGGTCCAATTGGCACGTAACGTCCCTCAATTCTAGGCGCCACTTTACCTTTTTTCGGCAAAATTGGAATAAATTTTGTCACATGCTTCTCTTGTGCGTGCGCGAGAATTTTACTTTGCGATGATAAATACCATTTACAAATTTTACACTGATAACCCGTTTTTAAATGTACCGATTCCATGTGTCGCCACATTTCATTGCTCGTATTTTGAAAGCCACAAATTTTACATATCAATGGTCGTAGTTTGTCGCCGGTTATTATAACATGACGTGCTCTCATGTGAAACCACATGTTACGAATATTACCATAGTCCTTACATTTAAAATCACATTCACCGCAAACGTAGGGTAATTTACGATGAATTTTTTTTACATGACCCTCTAAAAATGCATAAGTGACAAATTCGACATTACAAATTTTACAGACAAAACGATTATTAAAATTATGCTCCTTATTGTGTTTGTCGGTGGTAATTTTATCGGCCTCAGTGAATTCGCAATGTTCACATAAATAAAGGGCTCGTGATTTTCTCAAATTATCCAAATTGCTGATTTCAATAATGTTTGCTGGTGATGTTAATGCTGATGATAATATTGATGACGATGGCAATAATGTTGATGATTCTTCAATTGACTCGTTTTCCAGGTACTTTTCCTCAGAAATAAATAATGGATCTCCCCATATTAAACTGAAACAAATAATAAAATTAAATTTTAAAAAAGTGAATTGATTTTAACTTTGCAAAATGATATGAACGAAAATTTTTATTTACATTTATGAAAGAAAAATAGTTTCGTTTAAAAATTGGT